TATATATGTATGTTTACTAATCTTTATTTTTGGGCTTTTTATTTCTGAATGTCATTGTTAAACCTCAACTGCAAAGCTATGTTTCCAAAGCATTTTATATGTCTGAATAATGGATGCATTTCAGAGTCTTTGAACAAATGTGTTTAGTTTGAGCCCTCAGATACGCAGCAGGATTGATGCTTTTGCTTATTTCGAAAGGAAACACGAATCAATGAGACACGAATCAGTGAAAAGTTCAAGTCAAATTTCTTGAATCGTGTTTGTATGTCCTAACTGGAAATTGGGAAATTCATTGAATATAAATGCCTGAGACCAACTTCATAAGGTGAGCTGTTGTATCGTCAAACGTTGTTCATCGATTGATGTCCCAGTGATCATGTCTCGGTGGCAAAGGTCATAAAAAGAAGTGGTTGTGTGGGTGAAGTGTAGTGCTTCTGTACCATTAATTTTGGGAAATTCCTGGTCATGTTATTTGTCGTCATTCTCTGAGTGAAATAGTTGAAAAAAGGCCAAGAATTAAAATGGCGCTTACTGGTAACTGAATGGGAGTGTCACCTGAACATATGGAGATGATATCTTGCTGCACACTAGCATACTATTGAGACTGCGCAAGTTTGTTTAAAAATGAGTGCCTATAATTTATGAATTTCTGTGTGTTTTTTAATTTTTTTAGTTTGTTTGTGCCAATTGCTTTATTTTGCCAATATTATTTACTTCAGGGTTCTTTGCATTTCTTGCTCAAGTTTTGTTTGATTTTTGTAATTGCTTTGATAACATTTATATTTGCTTTTTTGTAACAAAGATCTGTTATAAAAGCCCCTTGATATTTATGACAAAATACTATGCGCTGATAAGAGGCTTATTTATTAAACCGTGAGCTGCCTCCGTGTGCTGAGATATAGTTAGTGGGATGCTTGAGCCTAGTATGGCATGTACACGCAGGCCTAGTTCAAGCTGTTTTTGTCGCTTTCCGCGGTTTATATGAAAACGATATGTCAATTCATGTTTTTCGTTCTGTATAGTAAAGAGAATTTTTATTTTCGCGATTTGAACTGAAGAGAAATTTCACGCCACATATATTTCACGCGGTTTGAATGTTCTAATAAAATTACATTATGTGAATGCTGAGGCTTATATAATAAGACAGACGCACAGCTACACAATCTTTATACATGACATAAACATTTTGTGGATTTTTATTTTTTTTTGGTAAAGACTTTTATATCTCCACAAACATGATGCTCGGTTTCCCCTGCATTGAATCATTTCAAATAAAAGTAAAAAAAAAAAAACCTGTGTGGTCTGTCGCTTATTTGTCCGTAAATTATTGACGTGCCAAAACTAAAGTGTCAGAAGATATTTTATAGCATTTGACTGTTGATTATAGACCTATTGTGGAAAATGTTGAGATTGCAATGAACTGATTTTAGGTTGTAGCTGTCTTATCAAATATTTATCATTACCATAAAATTATCTGTAGTTTATCACTTTCATTATAATGTAATTTTTAGTTTTCTATTATTTTATTATATATAAGAGAAAATGCATGTGTTGGAAACTCCCAAGTTTTAAAATGTGGTTAAAAGTTGTGCCGTTACAATTTTTAATTAATGTATAAAAAGAGAAAATTTAATAAATCTTTATTTGCAATGCTGATTGCAAGCATTCACATGATCCATTTTTAAAGATCCACTATGGTGTTGTGTTAAAAGTCCCCTCTTGCTGCTTAAAAAAAATCTTTTACTTTCATCTACATCTCTTCCAGATCATGTTGTTTCTCTTACTCCGGCAGGCCCATTTCTTTGCGGGTGAGAGTTGCGATGACACGATCTTTCAGATTCTCTGGTGCAGTACATTTGGGCTCTGATTGCAGGGAGTCCATGGTAAGTTTTCTCCACAGGTACTCTATTTTAGCATCGCAATGCCAAGGGTTAAAGATCAACTCCACCCAACTGGTATTAATGTCTAATGTGCCAGGGGACAAAAACTGCAGCTTGTTGTCACTGAGGTCGACGTACTCCAAGCGATTGAGCCCCTGGAATACAGTCAGCGGGAGACTATCTAATCCATTTTTCTGCAGGAAGATGTGAGTCAAGTTACCAGAGCGGCTAAAGGCTTTTACATCCAGGGACTGGATTTTGTTCTGGTCTAAATGAAGTCTCTCTAGAGCGGGGTGAGCATCTAAACACCCAACTGGAAGCTCTTCGATTTTGTTCTGCGAGAGGTGCAGAACCTTTAGTTGACTCAGGCTTTGGAGTTGGGGCATTGGGAATTTCATAAGATGGTTTCCAGACAAGTCCAACCAAGTAATATTGCTGTTGATGGGCAACCAGTCTGGGTGGATGCTGGAGATGCGGTTGTCCTTCAACACCAGGTTGAGAAGTGGAGCGTGATGGAAAACGTATGCAGGTAGCTCTCGCAGTTCATTATCTGAGCACAGTTTGGATAAGAGTTAGAAAACAATACAAACATACTTGACCTGCTGCATCATTTGGTGTAGTTTTGGCTTTCATAAAAAAAATGTTTTTTAGAAAATGGCCTCTAAAGATTCCAAACGATTTTCAGATATTTTAACAGAATTTGGTTATTTGTTACGTTAAATTGTGACACAGTTAAATAAAATGCATTTAGTTTACATTTTAACAATACATTTACTATTTTAACGATATGCTTCAGTCTGAATGTTGAACTAAGGAGCTATGGACGTTGAATGACTTCTGAGGTAACTACATGTACACGCAGGCCTAGTTCAAGCTGTTTTTGTCGCTTTCCGCGGTTTATATGAAAACGATATGTCAATTCATATTTTTCGTTCTGTATAGTAAAGATAATTTTTATTTTCGCGATTTGAACTGAAGAGAAATTTCACGCCACATATATTTCACGCGGTTTGAATGTTCTAATAAAATTACATTATGTGAATGCTGAGGCTTATATAATAAGACAGACGCACAGCTACACAATCTTTAACATTTTGACACACACACACACACACACCTGTGAGGTCTATAGTGTGCAGGTAATAAAGGCCCTTCAGAAGATCTGCTGGGAAACTGCTCAGTTTGTTGCCGGGCAGGTGTAACTCCTCCAGCAGTGGGATGGCTGTCAAGTGTTGCGAGGTCAGCACGCTCAGGTTGGTGAACTGGACGGTTAGGGAGGTGGTGTTTCCAGGAAGACCGTCTTCAGGGAAAAGCGAGAGGCCAGCGTCAGGACACACCACCTCGGTTGTTTTGGCACTGAAGTGGCACGTGCATCGCTTCGGACACGAGAGGGCGTCACGGAAACAGAAGACGACCGTCACCGCGAGCGCGTGCAGCAGCCAGGAATTCATCTTCACCCCTTCAAAAGAATTCAAGCTTCAATTATTTTCTCACATAAACTGTTGATGTATTTCTAGCATAGAGTTTCCTTGCTTCTTTTGTACTCGGAACAAAAATAATTTAATGAAGCTTATAGCCTACTTAATACTAAGAATAAAACGAAGAAGAATTAATCACGTAGAAATGTACATTAACGTAGTTACCTTACTGGAGATTATTGTCTAAAATGGTAAAACATCAATAAAACGACATCTTACCTATTAATTTGATTGTTTAGATGTCCAGTTAATCCAAAATTCTGCTCATTCCCTTCAGTTATATATCCTGACAGAGATGGTCTGCTTACAGGAAAACAGGACAGTCAGAGAAAAGCCGTCACTTGTGTACATACTGAGAACATCAGGTCTCTGGCCATGACTGAGGGTGAAAGTTCACACGACTTGTCCAAAACAATTATTTCAAATAGCTGAAGCATATGGTGTCACATTAATAAAAGTGAAAAAAAATGATACAATAAATAGGCCTATGTAGCCTATATTGGGGTTTAAAATGTAAAATCTGGGTGTAAAATTGATGAATGTTTTTACTGAATGCTTCACAACACCCAGTATTAGATCAATACATGTAAATGATTAATGATTGGCTACAGCATCAGCGTTGCACAATGAACAAGAGGTTGCACAAGTGTTCTTCACAAATGGACACAAGTTTTCATTTCAAATCATGTTATTGCATGCATATAACAGCTGTCCCAATGATTTGTTTATTGTCCTCTGAATGGCCAGCCAAGACACATCAGGGATTTTCCTTCTTTATAAGCATTAACGTTTTTGTTCCTCTTTGCAATAGATTTCAGAAGATAATTCAATTAAATATTCAAATATAGCATATGTGTGTTTGTAGGCTACCAGACGGCAAACGTGTTTATGAGTAGTTGACATGAGATATTATTAGACAGTAATGGCACTTGGAGAGATTTTCCTCAAAATATTTTTATAAAATCTAAAATCAATATATTTCAAAATGGCACATAATAATGATGGTAAGCATTATTCAAGCTAATAATAATTCGTGAAAAAAGACTTTTGGTGAAGCTAAAGGTGTTAATGAGAAAATGACTGAGTGGTGAATTAAAGGTCGAAAACTTTAAACTATTTTTAATGTAATTTTCTTCCTTTCTTTCTTTTTAGTTAACAATTAATTTAAAATGTTTTTGCTTTTTTTAGATGGATTTTTAACAGGGGAAAACAGAAGTTCCAAAACATAAACATCCACATATGCTAAATTATAGAATAGTTATAGGCCTAGCTCTTATCATATATCTTTAATTAATTTAAAAAAAACTGTCAATGGAAAACAATCTAATATTTGGTACAACTGACATGCATCTTTATGAAGGTCTATGATATATTTTTCAAATAGAGTAAGAATTTGAATTGTCTTGTCAGTCTCCAAGAGGAACCGAAAATGTAACTTTTCCATTCATGTTTAGATGTTTTTTCCACCTAAAATGCTGGTGTAGAATAAAAAAGTTCACGGACGTGACATGTTGTTATAGGCCTAATAGCCTAGCAAAACACGATTTCAATCACACGGACAATCCAACTCCATTGTTTCCCTCCAGAACCGCGTCTTAGTGATCAGTTTCGGAGTTCATTGGTTGGGATGGCGCCTGGTGACGCGCGCTCCGCGCCAAACCCCTCCCGGTGCACCGCGCGCTCCGCGCTGGACAGTGTCCCTCAGTCACACAAGGATTCTGCGCCGCTAGGGGACAGTTCAGGGAGGGGACAGCAGTGGAGACCGAAGGATCCTTTGGAGAGCCCCAGTCCCCTGGAGACTCGATGGAGACCTCCAGCAGCGTGCCGAGCACCGCGCTCACGCAACTCCTGAACTTCACAGAGGATCCCGTCAGCTTCTCAGAGAGTCCTTCCATGGCGGGGTTACGCGCCACAGAAGAGCCGCTTTCACCCGTGCTCAGCAGCTTCAGGACTGATGCGGCTCCAGCGGGGCTCCTGGCGGGTCCGTTCTCGCCCTCCGAAGAGCCCACTCACCTGATTGTGGCTTTCTGGGATTCACCCTTGAGTCACGGGATTAACGTGTTTGTGGGCTTCGTCCTGTGCTTCACCATGCTGGGGCTGGGCTGCACGGTGGAGCTCAGTCAGCTGGGCGAGCACATCCGCAAGCCCATAGGAGTCCTGCTGGCGGTGGTGTGCCAGTTTGTCCTCATGCCCCTCATCGCCTTCCTCCTGGCTCTGGCCTTCTCCCTCAACGATGTGGCCGCTATGGCTGTGCTGCTGTGCGGCTGCTGCCCTGGAGGAAACCTCTCCAACATCATGTCACTGCTGGTCAACGGGGAGATGAACCTCAGGTAGGTCTACATCCGACTAGTTGTTTAGAAAAATAAATCAATGAATAAAATATTGTGATGATGCGTCCATTATGATAATATATACATATATATATATATATATATATATATGAAGAGCTCATTTGCAAAAACAGATAACTCATGTTTTTTTTATCCTGCATTTCAATTAATATCAATCAAACTGCAGTTGGGTTGTTTTGATTAAATATTAATAACTAAAAAAATACAGCTAACTAACACAATAAAACACATGTAAAAACAACAATAAAAAACATGATTTATCTGTTATCTGAGTTATCTGTTTTTGCAAATAAACTCTTCATATATATATATATATATATATATATATAATTTAATGAATAAAATATTGTCATGTTCATTATACAGTTTTGAAAATATAAAAAAGACTAGTTTAAATATAGCTATAATATAAAATTATTTGAATATTTGTATTTTAAAATTTTATATTTTTAATATATAAAATTGTATTTAATATAAAATATAAACAAATAAAAATATAATCAATATAATAAACAAATATAAAAAAATGTATAATTTAAAATATATCAGAAAAAAAAAATGTATTGCGAGAATGTTATTTTGCCATAGAGAAAAGATGATGCTCTAGCTCAGTGCATTGTTCAGTGGATTTTTGACAAGTATTTTTGCACAGATTTTTTTGCATGCATTGTGTTTTTATTTTTTAACTATTATGTATTATACTAAGTGCATAAAGCACAGAAATAAAATAAAGGTCAGAAGAACATGTTGCTTTATTTGGCTGTCTTTGGTAATAATGTTTTCCAGCATCATCATGACCATCTCGTCCACTATTCTGGCGCTCGTGCTCATGCCGCTGTGTCTGTGGATGTACAGCCGCGCGTGGATCAACACACCATTGGTGAACCTTCTGCCCTTCGGCGCGATCATTCTCACCCTCTGCAGCACCCTCATTCCCATCGGGCTCGGGGTCTGGCTTAGATACCGCTATACTCGAGTGGCAGAAATCATCATCAAGGTGACTTAATGCAAAAAACCTGATCAGTTGTCTAAAAGTCATTCAAAGCAGTGCCAAAGCTGAGCACATTTACTATTAGGAAAAGGAACCTGAAATATCAGACTAAGTTGATTTGATTTGGAGGAGCCACTAAGTGGATCTTCATCACAAAATAACATGATTTAGATTTCTGCTGTCATTTCTGAAATATCACTGGTTGTGATGGGTTACTTATGTCGCCTTCATGTCCACCATCTCTGGCCATTAAAAGGAGACTGAAGTGCCTGGGGCGAGGTGGCGTCACATGCGCACATGGGTTCCTTTCAGTTGAGCTTATCTAAGAACAGCCTGGTAAGGGCACAGCGGCGACTATGAGATAGAGAGATGCGGGATGGGAGGTGAGGGGAGGGCTGACAGAGAGTGTGATAAAGGAATACAGGCAGTTGGGGGAGCAGCACATTAAGTGGAGTGATTTGTCACTCATGGCTTGCACTTTTCTCCTCTAGTAGTATCATCATGTGCCTCTCTGTGCCATTCACTCCTTTCAGGATTCATTCCCCAGGTCATGTTTAGCGAAATATGTCACATCAGTTGTTACCAGTCGCTGTATTAATGAAAACCCTTTATAGCTAATTGCTGCCAGCTGAGGCCTGTAAACAATTTCATTTTCTTAGTTTTCTCGACCAGAGTGATGGCTAGCAATTACATCATCAGGTAGTTGGATTTAATGTTTAAAATATTCAGAAAATGTCTCTGTTAGAAAGAATGCGTCCATTAGACTCATAAAATTAAAATATTACTGTGAGTATATGTCCATTAGACAAAGAAAATAAAATTATAATATTGTGAGAATATTTCCATTAGACCCATATTAGACCCATAAAATAAAATAAAATAAAATGATATTCTGATAATATTTCCTCTATACCCAGAATAAATAAAATAAAATAAAAGTATAGTGAGAATATTTTTATTAGACCCAGAATATAAAATATCAGTATGATCAGAATATGTCCATTAGATCCAGAAAGAGCAATATTTTGGGAATGTGTTAAATAAAAATAAAATAGAAATATTGTGAGAATGTCCATTAAAACCAGAATATAAAGTACAAATATTGTAAGAATATTTTCATTAGACCCATAAAATAAAAATATTGTGAGAATATTTAATTAGATTCAGAATATAAAGTAAAAATATTGTGAGAGTATCCATTAGATGCTGAAAAAAAAGAAAATTATTTTGAGAATATGTCCATTAGACCCAGAAAAATTATTTTGTTAGATTATGTTCATTTTACCTATAAAACATAATATTGTGAGAATGTCTATTAAACCCATAAAAAATAAATAAAATTATATATATATATATATATATATATAATGAAAATACTTTCATAAAACCTGGGATATAAAATACAAATATTGTAAGAATATATCCATTAGACCAATAAAATACGTAAAAAAAACAATAAAAAAACATTCTGAATATATGTTAATTAAAAAAATAATATTGTAAGAATATGTTCATTCGATTCATAAAATAAATCTGAAATATTCTGAGAATATGCCCATTAGACACAGAAAATAATATAAAATACTGGGAGAATTTGTACATTACACCCATAAAATAAAATTAAACGAAAATACTGGGAGAAATAAAATAAAATACAAATATTGTGAGAATATGTCGGTTAGACTCATAAAATAAAATATAAATATTGTGATTATAAGTCTATTACACCCATAAAATAATATTGTGAAAATACATGGGAAATATATAAGAAAAATGTTGCAGATTCTGTGCTAAATCAATAAAAAAATGAACTAAACGAAGAATAGCCTAAATAAAATCTGCTGAGAAACTTCAGTAAGATCTGAAGGACAGTATAATGGCCGTTTAGAAGACTTACCTGTGTTTCTGCTCCAGGTGTCTCTGTGGTCTCTCCTGGTCACTCTGCTGATGCTCTTCATCATGACTGGAACTATGCTGGGTCCGGAGCTGCTGGCCCCCATCCCTGCCTCTGTCTACCTGGTGGCTGTACTCATGCCCATGGCCGGCTATGCGGCAGGATATGGCCTGGCGACGCTCTTCGATCTCCCCCCCAACAGTCGGAGGACTGTGTCTTTAGAGACGGGCTGTCAGAACGTGCAGCTCTGCACGGCCATCCTGAAGCTGGCGTTTCCTCCGCAGCTGATGGGAGGCATGTATATGTTTCCTCTGCTGTACGCGCTCTTCCAGGCAGCAGAGGCTGGCGTCTTCATTCTGGCTTACCGCATGTACAGGAAAGAGGTATTACATAAACAGGACCTCATGGAGGATGACGAGGATGATACAAACATATCCTACAAGAGAATGAAGGAAGAAGACGTGCCGTTTGATTCTACGTATGGTGCGGTGACAGTGAGTGACCCCAACGTCATCGTGTTGGAGTCACAGGATGGTGCTGGAAGCCCCACACCTGTATAAGGGAACAAAAACAAAAGACTTGAGATTCACTATAGACACTGGACCAGAGTATTTACAATAGGATTTATTCATGCCATCACTCACTGTTGAATTTCTTACTAATCACTCACAGCATTATAACTAATATGTGCCAAAAATGATTGCAAGACTGTGAAAATGGAAACTAATATCATGACACACTAAACGCACTAGCCAAATATTACCATTCAATGGAATTTTTCTAAAATTAGTATAAAATATATAAATATAAATAAGATTCTATATATATATATATAGAGAGAGAGAGAGAGAGGGAGAGAGAGAGAAATATATTATTTATGTCTGTATATAAAAGATATATTTTATAGTTTTTGTTAATACAGAGTTAATTTGATCACACATTCATTCATTCTTTCTTTCATTAATCCATTAAAATAATGTAACAGTAAAAGCCACTTTCAGAGTCTTACAGAAGTATGCAAATTATACAGCATTAATGTATTTATGCTGCTGTTTGTAAATGAATCAGTGGTATTACCTCAGTAACTTGATTACATTGGCTTATTTGATTATGTGGACCAAGAGGATGAGAAGCCTGATTCACATCCCATGTTTATATTGCATATCACCCACTGTCAGTCTGCTTCTGATTCTAAAGCTGGGAGAAAATATGTTTTCTGAGTTTATTGCTTCAAAAATAGTGGCATTTTACAGGATTACCACAATGCCAAAGGCTATAACAACATGTCAGTGTCAGATCATAACAAATGTGATTGTGAAAAACAGCCTATAGTTTCTCTGTAATCATCATTTTTACTTTACCATCAGCATTATTGCAGTGTTAAATGAAAAAGTGCTAGGCTTTAGGATTTTGCTGATGTTTTTCTCTACGCCAGGTCACTTTATTCTCAGTACATCAGTGTTCTGGAAGCGACGCAGCTGACTAGAGTTCAGTTATTTAAGAGGATATATCTCAGTGGTGTTTGGGTACTATAGACCCAAATCACTATTGATCTTCCTTCTTTATCTGTGTTTCATGTGTCTGAGATAGAGGGAGAGAGTGTAAGTATGAGCAGTACTCAGTTAATCAGATCACAGAGCAAGTGCTGAGGGATTGCAGGTCAACTTGCCGAGTTTTTGTGATTTGTCATGTCTCTGTGGCTGGATTTCCTGTGACAGGAATATTCTTGAAACCGCAAGGATGAGGATTCAGGCAGCTTTTAGTCATTTGTGTGGCTGTTATGGGAAACATGAATTGGTTTGCAGCCCATTTCACTTCTGTAATGAGATGCATTTCTGAGTGAAACAGGATATTCAGTGAGAAAATTTGATTGTATCTACTGATTAGGAATTGATTGGATGTTTACATACCAGGATGGAGCCAGACTGAACGTGACTGCGAGTTTGCTAAAAATAGCTGGCTATTGGTTTTGCTATTGGCTATTGGTTAACATTATTCAATAGCCTACACTAAGTGATGCAGAAAGAGAAAGGAAAAAGATTAATAATAAGTTAATAAATGATTAAAGCTTATGATAACACATGAAGAGTTCATTTGCAAAAACAGATAACTCTTAAACAGATAACCATTTTCAAAAATCATGTTTTTTTCATTGTGCATTCCAATTAATCTCAATCAAACTACATTTAGGTTATTTTGATTAAGTAAAAATAACTAAAAATACAGCTAACTAACACAATGAAAACATGATAACATAATAAAAAACATGATTTTTGAAAATTGTTATCTGAGTTATCTGTTTTTGCAAATAAACTCTTCATATATATATATATATATATATATATATAATTTAATGAATAAAATATTGTCATGTTCATTATACAGTTTTGAAAATATAAAAAAGACTAGTTTAAATATAGCTATAATATAAAATTATTTGAATATTTGTATTTTAAAATTTTATATTTTTAATATATAAAATTGTATTTAATATAAAATATAAACAAATAAAAATATAATCAATATAATAAACAAATATAAAAAAATGTATAATTTAAAATATATCAGAAAAAAAAAATGTATTGCGAGAATGTTATTTTGCCATAGAGAAAAGATGATGCTCTAGCTCAGTGCATTGTTCAGTGGATTTTTGACAAGTATTTTTGCACAGATTTTTTTGCATGCATTGTGTTTTTATTTTTTAAGTATTATGTATTATACTAAGTGCATAAAGCACAGAAATAAAATAAAGGTCAGAAGAACATGTTGCTTTATTTGGCTGTCTTTGGTAATAATGTTTTCCAGCATCATCATGACCATCTCGTCCACTATTCTGGCGCTTGTGCTCATGCCGCTGTGTCTGTGGATGTACAGCCGCGCGTGGATCAACACACCATTGGTGAACCTTCTGCCCTTCGGCGCGATCATTCTCACCCTCTGCAGCACCCTCATTCCCATCGGGCTCGGGGTCTGGCTTAGATACCGCTATACTCGAGTGGCAGAAATCATCATCAAGGTGACTTAATGCAAAAAACCTGATCAGTTGTCTAAAAGTCATTCAAAGCAGTGCCAAAGCTGAGCACATTTACTATTAGGAAAAGGAACCTGAAATATCAGACTAAGTTGATTTGATTTGGAGGAGCCACTAAGTGGATCTTCATCACAAAATAACATGATTTAGATTTCTGCTGTCATTTCTGAAATATCACTGGTTGTGATGGGTTACTTATGTCGCCTTCATGTCCACCATCTCTGGCCATTAAAAGGAGACTGAAGTGCCTGGGGCGAGGTGGCGTCACATGCGCACATGGGTTCCTTTCAGTTGAGCTTATCTAAGAACAGCCTGGTAAGGGCACAGCGGCGACTATGAGATAGAGAGATGCGGGATGGGAGGTGAGGGGAGGGCTGACAGAGAGTGTGATAAAGGAATACAGGCAGTTGGGGGAGCAGCACATTAAGTGGAGTGATTTGTCACTCATGGCTTGCACTTTTCTCCTCTAGTAGTATCATCATGTGCCTCTCTGTGCCATTCACTCCTTTCAGGATTCATTCCCCAGGTCATGTTTAGCGAAATATGTCACATCAGTTGTTACCAGTCGCTGTATTAATGAAAACCCTTTATAGCTAATTGCTGCCAGCTGAGGCCTGTAAACAATTTAATTTTCTTAGTTTTCTCGACCAGAGTGATGGCTAGCAATTACATCATCAGGTAGCTGGATTTAATGTTTAAAATATTCAGAAAATGTCTCTGTTAGAAAGAATGCGTCCATTAGACTCATAAAATTAAAATATTACTGTGAGTATATGTCCATTAGACAAAGAAAATAAAATTATAATATTGTGAGAATATTTCCATTAGACCCATATTAGACCCATAAAATAAAATAAAATAAAATGATATTCTGATAATATTTCCTCTATACCCAGAATAAATAAAATAAAATAAAAGTATAGTGAGAATATTTTTATTAGACCCAGAATATAAAATATCAGTATGATCAGAATATGTCCATTAGATCCAGAAAGAGCAATATTTTGGGAATGTGTTAAATAAAAATAAAATAGAAATATTGTGAGAATGTCCATTAAAACCAGAATATAAAGTACAAATATTGTAAGAATATTTTCATTAGACCCATAAAATAAAAATATTGTGAGAATATTTAATTAGATTCAGAATATAAAGTAAAAATATTGTGAGAATATCCATTAGATGCTGAAAAAAAAGAAAATTATTTTGAGAATATGTCCATTAGACCCAGAAAAATTATTTTGTTAGATTATGTTCATTTTACCTATAAAACATAATATTGTGAGAATGTCTATTAAACCCATAAAAAATAAATAAAATTATATATATATATATATATATATATAATGAAAATACTTTCATAAAACCTGGGATATAAAATACAAATATTGTAAGAATATATCCATTAGACCAATAAAATACGTAAAAAAAACAATAAAAAAACATTCTGAATATATGTTAATTAAAAAAATAATATTGTAAGAATATGTTCATTCGATTCATAAAATAAATCTGAAATATTCTGAGAATATGCCCATTAGACACAGAAAATAATATAAAATACTGGGAGAATTTGTACATTACACCCATAAAATAAAATTAAACGAAAATACTGGGAGAAATAAAATAAAATACAAATATTGTGAGAATATGTCGGTTAGACTCATAAAATAAAATATAAATATTGTGATTATAAGTCTATTACACCCATAAAATAATATTGTGAAAGTACATGGGAAATATATAAGAAAAATGTTGCAGATTCTGTGCTAAATCAATAAAAAAATGAACTAAACGAAGAATAGCCTAAATAAAATCTGCTGAGAAACTTCAGTAAGATCTGAAGGACAGTATAATGGCCGTTTAGAAGACTTACCTGTGTTTCTGCTCCAGGTGTCCCTGTGGTCTCTCCTGGTCACTCTGCTGATGCTCTTCATCATGACTGGAACTATGCTGGGTCCGGAGCTGCTGGCCACCATCCCTGCCTCTGTCTACCTGGTGGCTGTACTCATGCCCATGGCCGGCTATGCGGCAGGATATGGCCTGGCGACGCTCTTCGATCTCCCCCCCAACAGTCGGAGGACTGTGTCTTTAGAGACGGGCTGTCAGAACGTGCAGCTCTGCACGGCCATCCTGAAGCTGGCGTTTCCTCCGCAGCTGATGGGAGGCATGTATATGTTTCCTCTGCTGTACGCGCTCTTCCAGGCAGCAGAGGCTGGCGTCTTCATTCTGGCTTACCGCATGTACAGGAAAGAGGTATTACATAAACAGGACCTCATGGAGGATGACGAGGATGATACAAACATATCCTACAAGAGAATGAAGGAAGAAGACGTGCCGTTTGATTCTACGTATGGTGCGGTGACAGTGAGTGACCCCAACGTCATCGTGTTGGAGTCACAGGATGGTGCTGGAAGCCCCACACCTGTATAAGGGAACAAAAACAAAAGACTTGAGATTCACTATAGACACTGGACCAGAGTATTTACAATAGGATTTATTCATGCCATCACTCACTGTTGAATTTCTTACTAATCACTCACAGCATTATAACTAATATGTGCCAAAAATGATTGCAAGACTGTGAAAATGGAAACTAATATCATGACACACTAAACGCACTAGCCAAATATTACCATTCAATGGAATTTTTCTAAAATTAGTATAAAATATATAAATATAAATAAGATTCTATATATATATATATAGAGAGAGAGAGAGAGAGGGAGAGAGAGAGAAATATATTATTTATGTCTGTATATAAAAGATATATTTTATAGTTTTTGTTAATACAGAGTTAATTTGATCACACATTCATTCATTCTTTCTTTCATTCATTAATCCATTAAAATAATGTAACAGTAAAAGCCACTTTCAGAGTCTTACAGAAGTATGCAAATTATACAGCATTAATGTATTTATGCTGCTGTTTGTAAATGAATCAGTGGTATTACCTCAGTAACTTGATTACATTGGCTTATTTGATTATGTGGACCAAGAGGATGAGAAGCCTGATTCACATCCCATGTTTATATTGCATATCACCCACTGTCAGTCTGCTTCTGATTCTAAAGCTGGGAGAAAATATGTTTTCTGAGTTTATTGCTTCAAAAATAGTGGCATTTTACAGGATTACCACAATGCCAAAGGCTATAACAACATGTCAGTGTCAGATCATAACAAATGTGATTGTGAAAAACAGCCTATGGAAATAAAAACAGGCTTTATGAAAAAAATGAGGTTTATTCTGGACAAGAATTGATCATGCGCTAGTTTCCATCTGATAATATTCGAATATGCAATCCATCTCTGTAACTGAAATGAAAACATTGTACATGTTTATCAGAATGTGTGAAAACATCTGCAAGATGAATAAACGTTTATGACAAGCATGTAATATTATAATTTTTGTTTCAAGATCTCTGCCAGACTGGTATAAAAATTGTTTTATAGATATTTCACTCACAAAAATAGCCTAATATAAAATTAATTATTTAGTAGTAGGCTAGTAGTAATATAATATTTAAAGGTGACATATCATGAAAATCTGACTTTTCCAGGTTTTAAGTGCTATAATCAGGTCCCCGGTGCATCTACCAACCAAGGAAACGTGGAAAAGATGAACCCAATCACTTTGTTTTGGGAAGCCTTTTTCTTCTATATATATATATATATATATATAGAGAGAGAGAGGGAGAGAGAGAGAGATATATTATTTATGTCTGTATATAAAAGATATATTTTATAGTTTTTGTTAATACAGAGTTAATTTGATCACATATTCATTCATTCTTTCTTTCATTAATCCATTAAAATAATGTAACAGTAAAAGCCACTTTCAGAGTCTTACAGAAGTATGCAAATTATACAGCATTAATGTATTTATGCTGCTGTTTGTAAATGAATCAGTGCTATTACCTCAGTAACTTGATTATATTTGATTATTTGATTATGTGGACCAAGAGGATGAGAAGCCTGATTCACATCCCATGTTTATATTGCATATCACCCACTGCTTCTGATTCTCTGATTCTAAAGCTGGGAGAAAATATGTTTTCTGAGTTTATTGCTTCAAAAATAGTGGCATTTTACAGGATTACCACAATGCCAAAGGCTATAACAACATGTCAGTGTCAGATCATAACAAATGTGATTGTGAAAAACAGCCTATGGAAATAAAAACAGGCTTTATGAAAAAAATGAGGTTTATTCTGGACAAGAATTGATCATGCGCTAGTTTCCATCTGATAATATTCGAATATGCAATCCATCTCTGTAACTGAAATGAAAACATTGTACATGTTTATCAGAATGTGTGAAAACATCTGCAAGATGAATAAACGTTTATGACAAGCATGTAATATTATAATTTTTGTTTCAAGATCTCTGCCAGACTGGTATAAAAATTGTTTTATAGATATTTCACTCACAAAAATAGCCTAATATAAAATTAATTATTTAGTAGTAGGCTAGTAGTAATATAATATTTAAAGGTGACATATCATGAAAATCTGACTTTTCCAGGTTTTAAGTGCTATAATCAGGTCCCCGGTGCATCTACCAACCAAGGAAACGTGGAAAAGATGAACCCAATCACTTTGTTTTGGGAAGCCTTTTTCTGCAAGCGTCTGAGAAAACGAGCGCGTCTGATTTCGCTCCCTTGGTGACGTGGCAAAGGGATCTCATTATAATATTACTGCCCCTTAATCTAAATTTCCACACATGGCGCCATCATTTTGATTCCTAGTGACGTTTCAAAGAGATCTCATTATAATATTACCGCCCCTTAACTTTTTGTAACTCAAGTGTGTTTTTAACGTAAACTTGTGTGTGAATGAGAACTTAGTTTAGTACTCACAGGCTGTGACAGCCGCGTGTGCTTCAGATGTGTGCACGCAGAAAACCTTATATCTGAAGTTTAAACTCATATGGTTTAAAACGCATGATTTCAGCACGATAAACATGATAATCAGAACCAAAACAGATGTTTTTTAGCAGGTGCCAGCAGTAATGGCAATGTAATTCTTGAAAAGGGGGCGGGGAGCAGCAGCTCATTTGCATTTAAAGACACAGGCCCGAAAAACAGCAAATTAGGCATTTTCAAAATGATATAATAAATGATCTGTGGGGTATTTTGAGCTGAAACTTCACAGACACATTCTGGGGACCCCAGAGACTTATATTACATATTGTAAAAAGGGGCATAATATGTCTCCTTTAATAGTAACAATTTTTTCTAGAAAAAAATGTCCATGACCTTCTTAGATCAACAAACTTCTTTAGCAACAAACCACCAGCTGGTTAAACTGGTATTTGGATGGAAACCAGCTTTGTTTAAACCACATTTTCCAACAAACTTTACATTTATATGACTTTTCCGAGTCTGGAAATCACCTTTTGAAAAATCCCTAACACTTTTGGGTTTTTACTGACCGTGGGAATCCTGTTAATTGAGATTAATTAGGCACCTGACCTCAATTTGTGTCCCGTGCGTCTACTTAAACTCCTACAGTGCATTTTCCCAACCGGCTAAGCGAAAAATGGCTACATATGGTAACGAGACAGACGATAACTATCTTTACTCTTCTTACAACCCTTATTCCTACAAATACCCCAAGTTCAAGGGCTGGAGACAGAAAGCTTACTTCGCCAACTACGGTGAAGGTGAGACCTACTACGATAATTACCACAGGGCGCAGCTGAAGTCCATCTTGTCTCAGATCAACCCCAACCTCACCCCGCGTCTGAGGAAAGCCAACACCAAAGACGTGGGGATCCAGGTCAACCCGAAGACCGACGCGTCCATCCAGTGCACCCTGGGCCCGCGGACGCTTCTGGCCCGGAAGCGTGATGCCCTGCGACAGCGGCGACAGGAGGTCCAGACCCCGGGGAGCCCCATCAGCGGCGGCGTCCGCTTCCCGCGCACTCAAGCCGTTTACTCTCCAGTCGAGTCCAGGAGGCTAGTGTCCCTCTTCAGGGAGGAGGAAGAGAAGGACACGGAGGCTGAGGCCCCTGAGACGGTGGACCGCGCAGAGAAAGTGGAGAGAGCTGAGAAAGACGAGCGCAAAGAGGGCGAGGAGAGCGTGAAGGAACCACTTAGTCCCGAGAAAAATGAAAACAAACAGACGGAAACGAATGAGAACAGAAACGAGCCAGAGAAAACCGGACAATTGGAAGCCAAATACAAGGCTCGCGTGAGGTTCCAGGTGAGAAATTTTAGGATCAATTTATTTAGAAGTGTAGGTAAAATGACCGAGTTATTAGTGTATTAATTTGTTTTAATGCAGTTTTTGGAGCAGAAGTATGGTTACTATCATTGCAAAGACTGCAACCTACGCTGGGAAAGTGCTTATGTGTGGTGTGTCCAAGGCACAAACAAGGTAGGCATAATAGATGGCTTATGAAGATTACTACATGTTTAAGTGGTTTGAATTTGCAGTGTTGGCATACCTAACTTTTTATATATATTTATTTTTTTTAGGTGTATTTCAAGCAGTTTTGCAGAACATGCCAGAAATCATTCAACCCATACCGGGTTGAGGACATAACCTGTCAGGTAAACCTATAGAAGTTCGCAACCAGATGTCCTGAGGCCATCAATGGGACCTCTGCTAACGTTAAAGACTTAAGATATATAAAACATTTAAACATGCGCAACTTTAATTTGCCAACTGTCCTCTTTATTCTCCCTCAAGAGCATTGGTCTCAACGTAAACTAAACTAGGAAAGTCAGTGGTTTACAAGCAGCTCTGTCTTTTAATATATTACTTGCATTTATTCACTGTCCTTTTTGCATTAAAGTAGAAAATGTCATTTCAGACTTGTAAGAAGACTCGCTGTACATGTTCTGTAACATCACGTCATGTGGACCCCAAAAGACCTCACCGACAGGATCTGTGCGGCCGCTGCAAAGGCAAGCGTCTCTCCTGTGACAGCACCTTCAGCTTCAAATACATCATCTAGCACCTCGGTCTGTTGCGGTCAGGCTTGGTGGTTGCCCAGCTGGATTGTCCACCTCAGTCTCTGTATCCTCACCGCTCAAAGACTGTGGTGGGGATCCTTCAGTCACTAGAGTCTCATTTGTTTTTGTTTTGCTTTAATTTGTACTTGCAGTAACTGTAGGTGCCAATTCTGAAAAATGAAAATAAAAACGGCAATTACTAGCACATCTGGAGTTTTCCATTTCTTCGCTCTGCAGCAGGGTGAAGTGAATGGCTGACTTAATTTGTACAATTTTATAAGCATTTGTGCCTACAAATCTAGCAGACTGGGTTTGATGGTTTTGATTGGTTTTGTCATCAGTTGAATGTGGTGATGGTGTCTTGCCCTGTGTCCTTGACTTGCAACTTTTTCTTTTGCACTGTACGTCGTCACCGCTTCAGATTAGCACAATGACTCCTTTGTTCACTTAAGGCTTTTGGAACTATATATATTTTTTTTTTTGTAAGGATACATACTTGAAAAATGTGACTAACCTGTGAAAATCATGCGTGTGATTCTATAATCAGTTCCACATTGTCAAATTTGTCTTGTTGTCAGTGACCGATTCAGGTTGTCTGGTTTACTTGCAGTGGGTAAGTTATGATGCTTTACATTTTTAAGGTCCATTTACAATAGTTTAAGCATTACAGTAACTTCAAATTAATGCAAGACCAGTCAGTTGTGTATTTATGCACTAAAAGGGGTTGTTACTTGGCTGAAATGATTTGCGCCCAAAGTTTTACACTGTCTGCACCACGTTCCAAACTACAGCGGTAATAACACAGGAGTGATATTGTGGGAATTACTTTCAGAACGGGTTAGGTTCTGGTCAATTTGTCAGCTTTGGCAGAAGATCCTTAACCACACCCCTCAAACTATTGAGTGCAAAAATAAAACCCCGCCCTCTATTCAATACTCAGTTTGAAATGTCAGCAGCAACTTCTGACTCAGGCTGACTTTAATAGACCAGACCAGTGATGCTGGGGAAGTGAACGCATATTGAATCAACATCTACTGCTGATAGGGTTAATAACTGGATATCTACAATAAAACTGATTTGTTAACCATCAGGAAATGAGACAAACAGCGTTGCTTATAATCAGGTTTTTATTTAACAGTACAGGGAAAAGCAGATAAATCAGATGACAAAATGCAGAGAAATGCAAAAGGGAGGAAAAAAAATGGGATAATGCACCTCTAGATAAAAACTATTTTTCAAGGTAAATAATATATCCATTAAATAATTAAGAACAGCATTCAAAATGTACCAAACAAGCAACAGAAGAGATCTCCCAGAGGAATGAATACAGTGAACGTTTTATTTCTCAATGTGCCATGACAGATTAAACGCCCCCTCCCTCCCTCCCTACCTACCTATTTTTGCGGTTAATGCTTTCAGGACATCGCTTTGTCTCTTGAAGTTCGGCAAGAGAAGCACAGAGCCCACAAACCCTCAGTGCAGCCCTGGGTTAAGACAGAGCCAACATGGACAAACACTAGGCCCCAGTTTCCCCTCAGCAGGGGCCTCAGTGGGGGACTTTGAGCCAACATGGAGATCACAGTGGGTATCAAGGAATGCATATGGAAAAACTCGTCCGAGAAGCTGAGCTGGTTTGTCAGGACAGAGTAAACGCCCCCTCCCTCCCTCCCTACCTATTTTTGCGGTTAATGCTTTCAGGACATCGCTTTGTCTCTTGAAGTTCGGCAAGAGAAGCACAGAGCCCACAAACCCTCAGTGCAGCCCTGGGTTAAGACAGAGCCAACATGGACAAACACTAGGCCCCAGTTTCCCCTCAGCAGGGGCCTCAGTGGGGGACTTTGAGCCAACATGGAGATCACAGTGGGTATCAAGGAATGCATATGGAAAAACTCGTCCGAGAAGCTGAGCTGGTTTGTCAGGAAATATTGAAGATTAAGGTGGCGTATTATCATAAAGGAAAGGGCAGCCTGTGACTTACATCCCAACAGCTATTCAACTCGCTATTTTTTTTTTGCATTAGTCGTTACCCTCTGCTGAGCTCTCTCTGATTGAACAGTGCATTACACAAATGTACAAGGAAAAATACTGCTTTTACACTATACATTTTCTAAAATATATACAGAGTAAAATAAGTTATTGATATTTCCATGAGTTGCAGCCAGTTCGCACTTCACCTGTGCATCTAGGTTGGTTAACGTGCATGTAAGAGAGAGAACGAGTGTGCAAATATCAGTTCATGTCAAACGCACTAGCACGCAAACGCTCGCACTCGTCCTCACACACACACACACACACAAGAGTCTATGGTTTCCTACAGGCAGCTACTTATTTGGTTATAGATTAAGGGTTTTGTAAGAGCGGCCCAGTGAAAGCTGAAAGTTCTCTCTGATGCAGGTCAATAAAGTTAAACAGATAAACCTCTCTTTATACGGAGGGTACAGCCCCCCAGCTTACAATTACATGTTAAATATTCTAACATTTACAACCTAAGACTGTTAAAAAATAAATTTCTCAAAAAAATATTTGTTGCAGGCTTCTCTTTCAAGCATGCTTTTTGCGATCGACGATGCGACAGTCTCGCTGATCCACCGCGATACTCTGATTCTCACAATAATGCTCCAAATCCCATCTCTGCCCCAGTGAATAGTGGGGCAGACGGATGTGGATCACTCTAAAAGGACACCGCTTAGAGGTCATAGGTCATTCCGCCAAAAAGCTTCAAATTTAGCATCATTATCGCCCAGTGTCCCTCCTAATGGTTCTTGACCAGTCCTGTTCTTCGTACTTTTTCTACACCTGGAGAAGTTAAACTACTGGAGAAAGGGGGAAGGAAAAACATGGTACGTGCATAATAGTTCCGAGTAACTAATATCCACACATTCTTTAGCCCTTTGAGGTGAAGTCTACGTGAATAATCTCCAAACCCGCCGCCTCGGAGGAAGAGAGTCGAGTTCGTGAAGCTCTCACAGTCCAGTGCTGAGGACTGTGTTTTGCGTGTCGATTTGCGTCTGGATGTGGGCCGTGGGGGTCGGGGACAGGATGCGCGTCTGGTGGGTGTGTGGGTGCATGGCAGCCTGGCAGAGAGCTTCGCGGATCTGAAGGTTGAGCTCCATGAGGCGCGCGCTGGCCTGAGAAAGATCCCTGCTGGGGCCCACCACGGCCAAACACCCCGTCTGACCCAGAGTCTGGTGCCTGAAGTAAATGTGCAGCAGCGTCTGCACCGCATCATCCCTCTCGCTGCCAAATATGTCATTAGGCCACAGGCACCTGAGGGAATGGAGGGAATAGGAACATATCAGATTTAGGCAAAAGAGATCTACATAGATCCTAACTAGATGTGATGTGATGCATGTTTCCAGTGACAAGCAATTTGTCTGTCAATTCTGAAATCAGCCAATCAGAATTTGTATAGGGCCAGATTTACTAAAAGCTTGTGCCAGTGCAAATCGTCTTTAAAATATTACTGTCAGGATTTACTAAAAACGCGCCATGAAGAATTAGCGCTGAAAAGGCGTGGACAGTTATTTTTGCACCTGACCTTATTGAATATGCATTTGTAGGAGTTTCCCTTTCAGATGCAAAATTTATGGGATGAGAGAATTCAAATGAATCACACAACGTGATTTACTAACATTTGCGCTCGTCAAATTACCGGTATTTGTGCCATTATTTAACGCCCCAAAAAAGCACGTCTTAAACTATTTTGCACTTGAAATGGCTGCATTTGTTATTGCTAGGAGAAGGCACCGCAGAGAACAGAGCGCGTGGTAGAAGGGAAAGGATTTTTTCCCACTCATATTAAAGGGTTAGTTCACCCCAAAATGAATATTCTGTCATTAATTACTCACCCTCATGTCGTTCTAAACCCGTGAGACCTTAACAATTTATTCAACAATTCTTCTCCCCCGAGTTATGTCCTCCGCCATTTTGGAGAGTACCCAAGAACATAATGTAATCAGCGGTTTTTACATTGGGGGGGAAAGAACACACATGAACGTAATCAGCGTTTTTTACACTTAGGGGAAAGCGTGCGTATGCATTGTGATACTCTCCAAAATGGCAGTAAACGATGAATTGTTGAATAAAGTCATTCATTTTGTTTTCTTTACGCACAAAAAGTATTCTCGTAGCTTCACAAAATTGAAGTTGAGGCACTGATGTCATATGGACTGTTTTACCAATGTCCTTACTACCTTTCTGGACCTGGGAACATTACAGTTGTGTTGCTGTCTATGGAGGATCAGAGAGCTCAATTTTCATTTTCAGGTGAACTTTGGAATGCCAGAAGAACACATTATCCGAATCCGAACATATCCTTATGCTAATTAGTGCTGCGCTTGGTAGATTGCGTTGGTCATTATGGAAATGAGATGTTGCGACTGTGTTCTTTAATTTGTTTGTTGTTAGTAAATCATCCGCAGAAATTTCTGTTTTGCAATTGCGCTCTCGGGCTAATTTGCCCGGTTTAGTAACACTTTAGTAAAACTTAATGTAAAATACACACAAAATAATATGTAGAATGAGAATTTTTAAAGTAATTTTTTTAAAGTATAGGACAGTGTAGAGGGGACAGGAAGCAAAGTAGGAGAGGGGGGGGGGGATTGGCAAGGTCCTCGAGATGGGATTTGAACTCGGGACACCCGTAGCGCAATATGTCAGCGCACTGCCCACAAGGCTATCGGGCGCTGACGTAGAATTAAATTTTGGACTAATGAGGTTATAATGTGGGTGAAGCTACTAAAACCACAGGAAGTGACTGACAATATGGTGTATAGCCTGTCACGTCTGGTTAGGATGAAAAACTAGGAGTTTAAAAGAGTTTCTTGATACTGTACTGCTTAGTGCTAATTATATGAGAGCATATAAATGTTTATCTAATTATTATTAAAGTTGTCACATGTCAATAATTCGACCTTCTAGTGAAACAACAGACTTTGACAGACTGGTGATGCATGTTGAACTTCACCAATCATTTAGTCGCTTGAACTCCGCCCCCTTTCTTAGAATCACCTGAACGCTCACGTTCAGATCTGCCTCTATCCAATCAACAACTGATGGATTGAAGCAAGTCCACGCCTACATTTTTTTCCTGTTATGATAGTCTGCTACACTTGGATGTAGGACAATATTTCAGCTTCATCGCAACGTTAAAGTCACCATGAAATCAAAATAGACAACTCCTATTTTTAGTGAAATTTTGTGGTGTTTTAATTTATTTGTACAATATTATTGACATTATTTTTTATTAATAGTACTAAGATCGCAGCCACTGGCAAATGACAATGATACAAGTCCCACCTTACATTTTTATTTTTTTGGTCAATTTAAGCCATTTAATTTGGATATGGTTTCACTGCGACTTCAAAGCTTAGTTATCGTACCTGAAGGCTTTAACTTGAGCGATGGCTGTGCTGAAGTCCCGTGCTCTAAGGCTCTCGATGAGTGAGTGGATGGCTGTCTCTGTGCTTGACTGGTCCACTTCAAACTCGCCCACTCCCTCCTGTCCATCATCTACTGACTCCGCCTCCTTCAGACAGCTCTCTAATATGGCCAGCTCCTCTGACATGTTAGTCACCTGAGAAACACACAAGCACCATGATATTTTAAATCAACATTTAGTCAATATTCTCACAACTCTGACTAAACCACTCACGAAAAATGACCAACTTGCCAGAACACAATCAATCAGTAGAAAAAAATCATTGACGCGCACCATAGTCATATCATATTAAGCATAAACATATTGAAAATTGATATTGATATTCCTTAGGCAATGCGTATTAGCTCAAAACCAGGTCGTCCCAAGCTAAATATATAAGAGCTGTTATATGATTTCTACATAACAGAGGTCGCTGAGGTCTGTGTGTGTATGTGTGCAGTCTATAAAGTGTAAGTGAGTTTGTATCGATGCGCGATAAGCTGAACGGCTTTGCTTTGGTCTGTGTTAAGCATATCAGTCTCTCTCAGTGAGCATAATGAAGTTACGCTGCACTAAGATCATTATGTGAAGTCAGACCTTTATATGTGTCCATACTGGCACACATTAGCAGAAACTACCATGAAATCCAGAGAGAAAACTGACCATCTTCTGTCTATATGTGTGTGCTGTCAGAGCATCTTGCTGGCTTCATATTAAGCACAATGTTTGTGGCACTCGAGAAAAACAAAAAACAAAAATAATTTCTAGCACAATTTTACATAAGAAAAAAAATTAAAGGGACAATTTAGCCAAAAATTATAATTTAAGGATTTAGTAACCCTCAAGATGTTTGTTCATCTTAGAAACACAAATGTAGATATTTTAATGAAACCTGAGAGATTTGTCGCTGCATTGAAAATCAGTGCAAACAAAACTTTGACGCTTTAAATTAAAAAGTTCATAAAGACAGTATAAAAGAATTCCATCCTTATTTCAATAAATTCAAGTCTTCTAAAGAGACTGGACAGCATTATATAATGAAGAGATTTAATTGAGCCTTTTATTCACATATAAACATTGATGAACACACATACATAGAGCACATCAAATATGGTAAACAGATGACTCGAATGTTTGTGCTTGACATGACAACCAATGAGGTTTGTTCTCACATCAAGCAAGCATGGTTGGGCTTTCGTTTACCATATTTGATATATTCTATGTGTGTGCGTTGATCTATCAGGTTTCATAAAAAATATTTTCATTTGTGTTTTGAAGATGAATAGAAGTTTTGTGGGTTTGGAACAACTTGAAGGTGAGTAAATGACAATTTTCATTTTTGGGTGAACCAACACTTTAAAAATGGTACAGACAAACACAGCAATGTATCCTGTGTGAACAACAAATAATTAAGGATACAAGCAGAAACAAACCTCTGCCTCTCTCTTGATGGTGTCCACTCTGCTGATGAGTTTGCAGTAGGCCTGAAAGAGCAGCAGGAGCTGGAAATGTAGCTTATACAGCCGTCGACACAACTCCAGCTCCTAAAGAATCAAACAGAAAGAAAAAGAAAGAACACAACACCATCACCTTAACATCTTTAGTTTTAGTCATCTGCACAGTCAGCGGCAAAACTGCGTAATCAGATGAATGGACGGCAAGATGAATAAACAAATGGAGGAATAGACGGATGGATGAACATCCTGGCTTTGAGACGGAGAGAAGGGTTAGCAAGGTAACACCCTGGTCAATCACTTTGTAAAATGTGGACAATGTATGATTCCCTTATCAGAACGAAAAAGTCAGAACCGAATTGCGTGATCCAAAATATGTCAGGAGTGAGCAGAGGGGGCAGCATGGCAAGGAACGAGGAATCTAAGCTACTTTTCTCTTCCGTCCTCCGCTCAGATGTCCATGGACACACTCCAATCACACACTGAATGCATATGTGTCAAATTTCTAGAAGCATTAAAAACAATAATAACCCATTAGCAAATTAGCAAAGTCAACACTGTAAGTATGCAGAACTCATTTAAGCCATTAAATAATGAAGTTTATTAATGAAGCATGTAGTGATGATATATGAATGATCATGAATTAGTAGTGGTGTTAAGAGATCAGATGTAGGGGTTGTTCTGAATTCTGATTGGTTGTGCTGATGAATCAGTGAAGAACAGATGAATGTTCAGTGTGCGTGGCTGAATCGAAAAGGATTGTGACAGGCTCTAAAATATGATAAACCACTTACTGCTAGCATTTCCATTTGCTAAGCAAGAAGGACAGCAGGCCACAAAAAGAGGAAACAGGAAATGAGAGAAAGACCAACAATTAGTGTGCTGATAACACCCCAAGAACACCGTAAGAGAGAGATAGAGAGAAATATTGCAGTCTGTTGGTAATTAACAATGACAAAAATATTGCAGTCACATGCAATGCATTCTGTTTTCCTCAGTTTTATGTACACTCTAACATTTGTAACATTGCTAAATATATGCAAAATAGATAGAAAAGGGAAATTAAAGAGAGTGAGAGAGGTTGAGATAAATGCAAGTTACAGTAAGAAAGAAAAATATCAACTGTGGCGTCACAAAACTGCAAAAGCGCTTATCACAGAGAAAATAAAAGTGCTGTTTGCTGGGACAGCAGTGACTAGGATGAATAGAGGAGTAAGACACGGAGAGCATAAAGGTCATTTAGCCTCTACCATAAGAGATGGGTTGACAAAGAAACAGTGCATACTCCAATCTTCAGTGTCACATGATTTTTCAGAAATCATTCTAATATGTTGGTTTGATCCTCAAGAAACATTTATTTCCACCAATGTTGAAAACATTGTTCCTTAATATTTTTGTGGAACTGTAATAACCCCCCCCCAAAAAAAAAGTTCAAAAGAACAGCATTTATTTGAAATTTAAATCATTTGTAACATTTTTCATAAAAGTATTAATTTCTTTAAAAAAAAAAAAAAAAGTATTAATGACCCTAATCTTATGCACTAGTAGGGGTGGGCATCTTATTTCATTATATATATATTTCTTGTTATTAAAAATAAGAAAAAGAAGCAAATTAATAGAACACAATAGAACAAATAAATATGAAATAAACTTAATTTTTTCAGCTACAGTAGGATAGGTTTATTTAACATGTAGTAAGAAATATTACAGAAATTGATTAAAGTGTATAAATAACACACTAATCTTCACTGACATTTAAATTCTGCAGAAATCTGCGGTGAGTTCAGGAGCATTGATTCTGTGTGGGCCTGGCTACAAGTAACAGAACGATCAGCTGCCCTTGAATCACCTCTGCTTACATTCATACACAGGTTCTTACATTCTTCTTTATCTCTCAGAGATGAATAGAATTGTTTAGAGCACAAATGTTCACATCTGTCTGCTCAAACAGAAACATGCAGTGAGGTAAGTGTGTGGAAGTGTTTTTTTTTTTTCTACCTGAGCTTGATTGTTCTGATGAATCAGTGAAGAACAGATGAATGTTCAGTGTGCGTGGCTGAATCGAAAAGGATTGTGACAGGCTCTAAAATATGATAAACCACTTACTGCTAGCATTTCCATTTGCTAAGCAAGAAGGACAGCAGGCCACAAAAAGAGGAAACAGGAAATGAGAGAAAGACCAACAATTAGTGTGCTGATAACACCCCAAGAACACCGTAAGAGAGAGATAGAGAGAAATATTGCAGTCTGTTGGTAATTAACAATGACAAAAATATTGCAGTCACATGCAATGCATTCTGTTTTCCTCAGTTTTATGTACACTCTAACATTTGTAACATTGCTAAATATATGCAAAATAGATAGAAAAGGGAAATTAAAGAGAGTGAGAGAGGTTGAGATAAATGCAAGTTACAGTAAGAAAGAAAAATATCAACTGTGGCGTCACAAAACTGCAAAAGCGCTTATCACAGAGAAAATAAAAGTGCTGTTTGCTGGGACAGCAGTGACTAGGATGAATAGAGGAGTAAGACACGGAGAGCATAAAGGTCATTTAGCCTCTACCATAAGAGATGGGTTGACAAAGAAACAGTGCATACTCCAATCTTCAGTGTCACATGATTTTTCAGAAATCATTCTAATATGTTGGTTTGATCCTCAAGAAACATTTATTTCCACCAATGTTGAAAACATTGTTCCTTAATATTTTTGTGGAACTGTAATAACCCCCCCCCAAAAAAAAAGTTCAAAAGAACAGCATTTATTTGAAATTTAAATCATTTGTAACATTTTTCATAAAAGTATTAATTTCTTTAAAAAAAAAAAAAAAAGTATTAATGACCCTAATCTTATGCACTAGTAGGGGTGGGCATCTTATTTCATTATATATATATTTCTTGTTATTAAAAATAAGAAAAAGAAGCAAATTAATAGAACACAATAGAACAAATAAATATGAAATAAACTTAATTTTTTCAGCTACAGTAGGATAGGTTTATTTAACATGTAGTAAGAAATATTACAGAAATTGATTAAAGTGTATAAATAACACACTAATCTTCACTGACATTTAAATTCTGCAGAAATCTGCGGTGAGTTCAGGAGCATTGATTCTGTGTGGGCCTGGCTACAAGTAACAGAACGATCAGCTGCCCTTGAATCACCTCTGCTTACATTCATACACAGGTTCTTACATTCTTCTTTATCTCTCAGAGATGAATAGAATTGTTTAGAGCACAAATGTTCACATCTGTCTGCTCAAACAGAAACATGCAGTGAGGTAAGTGTGTGGAAGTGTTTTTTTTTTTTCTACCTGAGCTTGATTGTTGGGTCGCTGGTTACTGTCTTTATCACCGAAGGTCTTTCTGCAGTTATCCAACCACTGCAAGGGAAGCAGAAATGATACACCTTATTAAACAAAAAGCAGAAAAGTGCAGGTGGAAATTTCTGATGTTGTGAATATGAGCAAAGACATTTTTTTTTTTTCTACCTGAGCTTGATTGTTGGGTCGCTGGTTACTGTCTTTATCACCGAAGGTCTTTCTGCAGTTATCCAACCACTGCAAGGGAAGCAGAAATGATACACCTTATTAAACAAAAAGCAGAAAAGTGCAGGTGGAAATTTCTGATGTTGTGAATATGAGCAAAGACAGATGACATTTCTGTGAGTGCGAAACAGAAATACAGGGAGAGACGAAGAGTGCGTATGGGAGTGTGCATGAGGTAAATTTAATAAGAGTCTGCTACTTAGCAAATTAAAGAGGGTCTGTTTAAGCACAGAGGGGGTCAGCACATAATGCTCTAGAGGCAGTGCCTGTGTCTCATCCAATTACTGTCCTCTAGTCATCCACTATCCCATCTGCCCCCCTCTACTCCCCTTCCTGAGCCTGTCCATCCAGCTAAATGATTTAGGGTCTCCATGAGGCTATTCTTAGTGACCGTGCATGAAGAGAAATTGGCTGCTGTAGATTCTAGATGGGTGCTGCTAACGGAAGCTAACGCTGGCTAAATCAACTCACGACTTTATATGATTTAGTAGCCCACAATAACTGCAAAGAGACGTCAAGGAGCATTTTATGATCCTGCACTGTCAGCTTATTCTCCTCTGCTGTCTCTCCTCCATTGCATAACCTCAACATCACCCTTTAAAGATGGGTTTAAAGACGAAACCTTAACTAACAGACTGCACAGGAAATTCCCAGATTGTTTATGGGTATAGCTGAAAATCATTGTACCGTTTCTGCTTTAATGGAAAAAAATATGTTCTTTTATTATTGCATTAGATTTAAAGAAAGATTTTCTGTGAGTAACTTAAATTTGGGTTTGTTCCCTACTCAATAATATCATATGGCTTCGAAATACTTGAAATAAAGCACACAATTTGGAAACACAGCAGTATTATACACTTAGTATCTGACCTGTTCGGCTGCTTCTCTCTTGCTGTTGTAAGTGTCCAGATGCTCTTGTAACTCCAACACACTGAACTTCAGAGTCTCCAAGAGCCCACAGGAAACCAGCTAAAACACACACAGTTTAACAGTTTACTAAATATACCAACATGTTATATTATTGAATACTATCACACTGATATAATCTTTGTAAACAGGCAAGTGTAACTATACAACTAACAGTAATTTTCAGGTGTGAGGTGCAGAGGAAGTGTACACTCACAGTTTCAGCATCAAGTAGGACTGTAGGGCACTGGGAGCAGGAGGTCATGACCTCTAGAGAGCTCAGGAACTGGTTTCCCATTCGTTGGAGCCCCTCGCTAAGGAATCTTACTGAGGCATGGGTAACCGAGTCAAATTTCCTCTGAATGTGCTAAAGAGACAGGAGACAATCAGTGACTCAGTACTGCAGAAAAACACCAAGCTATGAATCAGTCAAATAACAAGCTAAGGTAAACAACACTTACACAAATTTGATTATGAAATAAAAATGTAATTGTGTATTTAGGATTAATAAAATGCTAGTAATTAAATTAACTGTATGGCAAGACAGTAGAGTTTGACAATACATTCCAAAAATGCTTAAAATGGTGATTTGTGATTTGATATGCTAAACATAGCAGTACTTTCTTGTGATGCATGTCAATACACTGCTGAAAATTATATGTAGACAAATAAACGAATGACAGTTAAAAGTGTTTATTAGTCCATACAGCCAAAAGTGACAGTTTAAGAACACATGTAAGTAGACCTCCATTCAAAAGTTTGGTGTTGGTAAGATTTTTTTTTAAATGTTTTTGAAAGAAGTCTCTTATGCTCACCAAGGTTGCATTTATTTGATAAAAGTACAGTAAAAACAGTAATATTGTGGAATATTATTAACATTTTGAATAACTTTTCTATTTAAATATTTTAAAATGTAATTTATTCTTGTGATAGGAAGCTGAATTTTCAGCAGCCATTACTCCAGTCTTCAGTGTCACATGATCCTTCAGAAATCATTCTAATTTGTGGCCATGGACCACAAAACCAGTCATAAGTGTCAATTTTTCTTTCAGAAATTGAGATGTATACATCATCTGAAAGCTGAATAAATAAGCTTTCCATTGATATATGGTTTGTTAGGATAGGACAATATTTGGCCGAGATACAACTATCTGAAAATCTGGAATCTGAGGGTGCAAAATAAATCTAAATATTGAGAAAATCGCCTTTAAAGTTGTCCAAATGAAGTTCTTAGCAATGCTTATTTGATTAATAATCAAAAATTAAGTTTTAATATATTTATAGTAGGAAATTTACAAAATATCTTCATGGAACATGATCTTTACTTAATATCCTAATGATTTTGGGCATAAAAGAAAAATCGATAATTTTGACCCATACAATGTATTTTTGGCTATTGATACAAATATACCCCAGCGACTTAAGACTGATTTTGTGGTCCAAGGACACATTTGCTGATTTGTTGCTCAAGAAACGTTTCTTAATATTATCAATGATGAATATTTTTGTGGAAACCGTGATACAATTATTTCAGGATTCTTTGATAATTAGAGAGTTTAAAGCAACAGCATTTATCAGAAATCTTTTGTAACATTATAAATGTCTTTAGTCACTTTCCTTGCTGAATAAAAGCAATACAAAAATCTTACTAACACAAGATTTTTGAACTGCAGTGTATCTGCATGAAACTGTATATTAATATTCATATAATGTGCAGGTACAGACTCACAAACACTCTTGTTTTTACCTGGAAGAGTCGTGAGAACACATGGAAGGTGTAAACAGCACAAGACCCATCCGAGTCCGACAACATCTGGTTAACATGGCAACGCCAGGCGTCCTCCTCATCATCATAGGCTACGGGTTGGAATGCTGCCAAAATAGCCGAAAGAAAGGGCGACGGAGGTGGAGAGGCCTGCAGTTCAGGAAAGCCATCTGCATCGCCCTCATCTTGACTGTAAACAGAGATGGAAAGAGCAAAACTCAGACACATATAGAGACACGAGCACCAACACAAAGCGTTACATCATTCACGAAGGAAAAACGTAAACAGAGACATGCTGTTCTTTCTATCAAGCTCTCCCTCCTCTCTCTCCCACTCACTGCAGATGTCCTGTGCTGCAGTGTTGTTACAGTCCAAATCTACTGCAGAGGCACAGAAAAACAACATACAGATAAACACACACTTACAGGCCTGTAGGGCCGAAGAGCTTGATGAAGCAGACCGAATAGAAGAATCTGAGACCAGTGCTGCTGAAGGATGTGGAGGACATTGCCTTCATCTTCACTAACAGCTTTTATCGTTCCCTTCACTCTCTTCCTGCTCTGATGCTTTTTTCGCCGTTCCCTCTCCGAGCTTTTCACCTCACGTGTTAGCCTAAATTCTCCCTCTGCATTTGTGACGTTCTCTGTTTTTCCCTCTCACTCCCTCCCCCACCCGCTACTGCGCTGCACACGAGCGGTTCCCACACACGGCTACAGGCTCTCATTCTGTTCAATGGATCTCAGCCGCAGAAAGTTGCCAGGAAGAGCACAGAAAGGCCCTCATCACACAGTGCACGCGCAAAAATCTAATTAGAGCCCTTTGCTGAATCTCTGCCTATAATTTTTATTAATCGATCATGGAAGAGCCGGACACATCAGGGCTTAGGGGATGATAAATAGCACTGCAGAAGAAGTGTGTGTGTGAGAGTGCGTGTATAAGAATGAATAAAGTCAGTTTGTGGAGGCACTTTCTGATGTGCTCACGTATAGATGGCTGACCTTCAAGAGCAATGATGTTGCCAAGTATGAGATCACCATTCACAGTATTAATAAAACTCATCCTTATTATTCATGGCAGAAGATAAGAAATATGTTGAATGGTATTAAATGGTACAGTACCGACTACGAGCAAAAAAAAAAAAAAAAAGTCTAAAGATCCAAAGTGAACAGTGTTATGTACAGCTGTAAATGGGGTCCAAAACATTTTGTGATCTGTTCACTCAAATCACATTTGGAGGAAGTCAGAAATGAGTATGACCAAAGTATTTGCAGTGTTAATGCTAATCCGTAATGATCAGTCAAAGAAAATAATGTGTTCATAATAAAGTTTGGAAAACTCCTATATTATATAAATAAATGCTGTTCTTTGGAATCTTCCATTCATCAAATAATCCGGGGGAAAACCAGTATCATGGTTTCCTCAAAAAAAAAAAAAAAGTAGTTTTGCCACCACAGATATAAATTACATTTTAAAATATTGAAATAGCAAAAAGCTATTTTAAACTGTAATAGTATTTTACAATATTACTCTTTTGACTATTTTTTATCAAACAAATGTCAAACAAATCTTACAAACCCCAAACTTTTGAACGGTAGGGTATATAATTCCCTTTTTAACAAACCTTTTGTCATTTGTGCTATTTTAATTCTACTACTCTCTCAAAACGTTGTGAGCGGCCTAGAGAGCATATTAGGCGACCAAAGTTGTTACAAATAATAGGGAATTAAATGCATCTGGGCAGCCTTTAACTGAGTGCAGGGCTCGCAAAATCGCTAGTCCGACGTCCCGGGGCTATTGTGTTTTCCAGTTGGGCTACCAAAATGTATCACTGCCCTGCCCGACGGGCTATCTTGAAGTGATATAAAAACCCTTCCTTAATTCGCGTTGTTCACTCGCTTGTAGGGGTGAAACGGATCATAGTTTATCATTTACACGTGTTTCTAAGTCTTACCAATTTAAACATTCAAGCGTTTTAAACCATTCATTCGCTTGAAGAATTCAGTTCGGTGCTCACAGCGCGCACTTACAGAGCAGCGTTTCAGGCAGAGCACGAACACAGAATTGATACCTCTTTCGCTTGAACGGACACATACACGCAAAATTATCTCAAAATAACTATCTCGGCAAGTATTTTTATGTCTTGAATGTAAACAGTGGAGAAAGAAATCGCACGTGCATCATTATATTGGATCCGTGGATTAGGTCTTAAAGGGGCAGCAGCCTTTAAATACCTGCTGTCAGAGAGTGACATTTGCATCTCATTCAGCCCGTTTGCTGTTTTTGTTTCTTTCAGATGTTTTATGTAGTATCAAGAAGCTAAAGTCAGACCATTTTGTTTTTGTTTCAAATGTCAACATTTTACCATCTAAATAACATATATGCAGCATCTTTGTCTGGATCGTGATTAAAATACACAGGCAAAACCTTAGTTTACTTGCATGGAGACATTTATTTGTATTTATTTATTTGATTTGGGATTTGTTTTAAAATTTCAAGTTAGTATATTGTTTGACATGATCAGCTTCACAAAATAATGTGCAGCCTTTTGGTCTTAGAAATAACAAAAGGACACTTTTTAAAAAAAAAATCTGTCTTAAATCTCATTTTGTTAAAAAAGAAATTGTGAGAGAATTGTATTGTGAAATCAGTATCGTGAATCATATCACATCGTGAGTTGAGTGAATCATTACATCCCTATATGCTACTAGTTTTTGCTGTGGTATCGAAGTAGTAAAGTGTTACTGCCCGAAGGGCTGCCAGGGATTTTGAAATTTTGCGAGCCCTGGAGTGTATATTTCATAACTGATCATTTCATATGTTGCGCTTTATGTGACCTGACATGCACTTTGGTTAGGATGCTGCCTTGAATGTAGCAGTCTATGTTGGTAGTAGACAACAAGGTAGGGTTTTGGAACAGAGCCATAACTGATGAACTTTCAACCCTGTGAATGATTACTACAGAAATCACACACCAACCTGGACATGCTGGAAAAATCAGCCTCTTCTTCCTCGCACCTATCATCTAGCTCTTTCAGAGCCAGTGTCACGTCCTCCTCACATACTGAATCGGGGGCCGAGTCCAGAGCAAGGGGCAGAACAGTCTCCTCCTCACACATGGAGTCCAAGGTGGAGTCTATGACAGGGGGTGGCAGCACCGGCTCATCATCAAAGAGGGATCCAGGCGGGCTGTCCACAGCTGGTGGCGGAGGGGGCGCTGGGTCCAGGTCGTCGGTGGGGTCCTGGGAGTCAGGTAAGTCACAGAGCTCAGGGGGGTCTGAGGGTAAAGGAGGAGCACTGCCAAACCCCGTATCATCACTGACACTGCTGCTCAATTCATCTGCTGCAGTTACACTGGCATCCTGTGAACATGACATTAAATGGAAGTCAGGACTGGGGCAAAGAGGGCAACATGTATTTTGGGGGACAATAATACCTCTTCTGAGTGCTTTATATTGTAATAACAACACAAAAACTGAATCTTTCAATTATCTTGTGTGCATTAAGCACAACACTCCAGAACTGTTGCTGTAGAAACTGTATTTATTTTTACTGAAATAGAAAGGACTATTTATTTGGGTCCACATTCAGGCTAGGTGGTGAACATTACACATTTAGAGTGAACATCCCCAAGGGACTCTTAATCACCGCCACTCACAAAATGGCCTTGCTATACGCGTTCGGTGCTTCTATTATGAGAGGAAAAATCAATCATGGTACGGGGCTAATCTTTCACCATTGACTTACGATGCAAATGTGACCAGCTGAGGACTAAACCTGTGACATCAGAGGATCTATATTAAATGGACCACTGTATTTCCATTCATAAATCACATAAATGCACGGAGCTAAATAGCAGCTGACTATTAAATCAATCAAAATCATGGAGAAACATCTTTACCCTGAGCCTCACATGGATACTTACACAAGTCAATATTCATGTATTCTCGCTTGTGCTTTGCAGGTATGTTAGATATCACAACATTTAATTTAAAAATAGTAAATAACATGCTGCAATTAAAGTTATATATTTTACATAAAATGTATCATATGAACTTGGGCTCTGTAAAAAAGTATTGCTTCAGACACAGCCAAACGTATGCCGATTAACTAAAAATGCCAAATATTGGCAATATATTGGTCGGCCACTACTTACAATTGATTAGCTGAAGGTTCAAACTTCAACCAATCAAACAAACTATTGTACTATTGTGCAATAGTTGACAATGTCACATGAGCTCAACGTCTGTTAAACTCAAGATCTTTGAGATGTACGATGGATGTTATTATTAAGTTAAATTCCAGGACACCACAGGAATGATGGTAAAACATCTCTGGGAACAAACTGTTCCATCTCAGACTCATGTTTTATTCAAGCATACTTTAAGGAGACAACCAAGAAAAGAAAAAAACCCCATCTAATTGAACGAACTTGAGTTTCTTTTTTTCTTCTTCTCCTCCTCCTGTCTATTTATGAGTCTAATGCATTAACAGAAGGAGGAAGGGTGGCGTGGAGCCAAAGTAGAGGTGGTATTAGAGAAAGCTTTTAGGCGTTCTTGGCTGTGGTGGCCAAGCAGATGAGTAAGACTATCGATGGTTTTATCTGGACTCATTACGCTAAGAGCTGAAGAATGACAGGAGAGATGCCCTTGAGCTGATATTGAGGTATGACTGGACTGCACTCAACTGGTCTTGGCTGGACTGAGTAGGTATTGATCAAAAGTTGTTCATTCATTAACATCAACAGGAGGCGTATTCTGCTATGAATTGTGACCAGGGGACATACAGTTTTTTTGACTGAAAATTATCTGAACAGTGATGGTTCGTTGTGTGTATGAAGGTTGACCTGGGGGAACATCCTAAAAAGATCATTTTTCTAGAATAGAACTGTCATTTAAACATCAACCAAATGAAATGGGGGGAAAAAATCAGTTATCAGCAGTTAGTTAAGTTACAGTGTTAGTAACATGGCTGGCTAAAGCCTGTTAGTGGTCTTTAATGTTCTCTCAGTCGGGCTGTGCCTTTGTTTTACTTGAAAACTACTGCATGCTCTTTAATTTAAAGGGATAGTTCTCCAAAAAATTTGTTGCCACTTATTCACCCTTATGCTGTTCCAAAAGGCATGACACTGAAACCCAAACAGTACGTGGTCACTGCTTTCATTCTATGGATAAAATCAGCATGAACTTTCTTCAGAATTTCCTTATTTGTGTTCCACTGAAAAAAAACCCACCCTCATGTTTGGGGATTTTGCCTTTCAAATCTCGTAGAATGGTGGGTTTTCACTAATACTCACGATGAGGTTGCAGGTCCATGGAAGTGAGTAGTCTTCGTCAGAGCCTAAAGCGTGTTAACGTCTGTGTTTTTCAACCTTTCTGAGACCAAATTTGAGGTAGTTCTAGCACAGCAGGCCTGAGGTGTATGTTTGTCTTTGATAATCTCTCCCCCAATCAAAAATCAAGCAGGCAAGCAAGCCCCACCCTCATAGCAGTCAATCATTATCTATTGACAAGCACCCCATAAAGCAACACCCAGTGAGAGGAAAAGAGAACATGAGCCAGTATTCTGGCAGAGGAAACAGAAAGAGCCCAGTATTCAAAATGCAACACTTTCAGGAAACACTTTAGCAGCAAAGTCGGCATTAAAAGCTTGACATTTACATTTTTGGATGATTTAGGGAAATTGACAGGTGAGAAAACAGCACCAGTTGACTCCACAAGAGAGCAAAAAGCAAATGGCTAAATAGCACCCGTGCACCACAATTTATTGAGACTCCTGATTGATCCCACCTCAGGCAGCTGGCTGCTATTGCTGTCAGAGTGGGTGGTCTCAGGGGTGGGACTGTCTGGGTGGGGCAGTGGTGGGGTGGGCGTGGCCTCTTCTGTCAGGACACTACTGGAGGACTCTTGCGACTGCTGGAGGGAGTCCATATGATTGGATATGGCGTCATCCGTCGCTGAATCACTATTAAGCTGTGTAAAAAAGAAAAATGAATCTGTATTTAGCAAAAAATTAAGCATAATGTATCTGCTGTAGAATTCTCTGCCCTAAAGTGTTATGCTGCATCCACATATAACGGATCAATGAAAAAGAGTTCTGTACTTCTTAATATTTAATTCGTCTTTCATCATGACAACATGCGACATGCCAGAAAAATAGTTTGAGCCTGCCAAGACCAATTACATTTCAACTTTCAGTCTTGTTCAAACAGCGTAGGAAGAAAGAGACAAAAACAGGAAAAGGAAAATGACTTTCACTCAGCAGCATTTAAACAATCGGTTTTCTTAAGCTCAGCTTAGTAGCTCATGCCCCATAGCAAGCAGAAGGGTGCAAAAACTTATTGGAGGTTTGAAATGTAAAAAAAAAAAAAAAAAAGTTTACATGTAAACATTCATGCAGAAAATCTATTAGAATCCATTTAAGTAATGAGAAGGCCCACAAGGAATATGCTGTTTTTTTTCTTTGCATATTTCGTTGATTTTGAGGGAATAACCATGTTAAAATGAGTTCAATTAATGTCTGAAAAAAACTACATGATGTGCAGTCTGGACGAGTCAATGCTAGTTGTTGAAACTAATTTAATGTAAAATTACATAATGTAAGATGGGCACAGACCCTGATTAATTGTTTCTATGTGAGTTTATTGTATTCAGAACGAGTTGAAAGAATGATAGTTAGTAATATTTAGCCGGCAAGTGTACGATGCCTCTTCTTGTTTTAAGCTAAAAGTATAATGGAATTATACAAATAATTAATAAACACACAAGACATACATTTATGAACAATTAATGTTTCAATTTAGTGGAATTCTGCAGAGATGTGTGTGTGTGCAGATTCTGTGTAGGCCTCTAAATGAGATCATGCTGTCAAGGGTCTAAACAACTATGGCAAAGTTAGTATAAGAATGCAAAACCACTACAATTTATTAAAGTTACTCTTGCTAATAAAAAATACAGAAAAATGGGTCCCCATCACCATACTTACCCAAAACAAATGCAACAAAATGGAATTAAGGGTCAAAGAAAGGTTTTGGAGTACTAAAAATGAATAGTTGGCTTGGCAGCAGGGAGAAGTGCAGAGGGCACTTGTTTAAAGACACTGGAAGCGCGGGTTATGCAGAAAGCAAGCGTCTAACCCCGCCTAGATAGGCCGTGGCAGCGTCTAAGCCCAATTTGGCGCACAGACACACCATGCCGGTGCCCCCTGTGTGGAGGGGGCCCAGAGGAGAGGGGACTTACTAGGTTGGAGCGGGTGAGAATCTGGCTAGCGCTCAGTACCTCCTCCTCAGATGACTCATCGGTGTCCTCCGGCTGGATGAGACTGGGTGTGCTGCCGCAATACTGGCAGTCCTGCAGAGACGGGGTGTCACCTTTTTCAATGCTGTCCAGAGAGCGACGCCTCACACCCCAGTTGAAGTTGTCCATGCTCTCCCCCTGCAGGTGGAACAGTAGAAAGCCAATAAGAGCAAAGCCCTTCAACTTTTAACAGCCAGCTGTGTGAATTATAGAGAAAATAAAGGATAAGAAATAAAATGAATACACTATACAAATCACGACACAATACACACAACCACAGAGCACAGTGGGGTGGGTGAACATGGAAAACAACACAACAATGACCAATTAAAATTCTAAATCCTATATTCAAAATGTATATTCTATTTTGAATTAAATTTGTTCATTTGCAACATCCATGTACTTGTGAAACTCATTAGCTACAAGTATAAAAACAAACCCACTTTATTGGCTAGCGGGAATCACATTTCAATTTCTGAATGGGCAAATTTTCAAATGAATGATGAAGCCAATCAATTATAGAACAAAACACAAACTTTTCCCTGAACACTGTTTAAAACTTACCTGAAGCTCCTGGACGCAAAAGAGGAAAAAAAGATAACAAGAGTGTTAGGGAGAGTTAAGACAGAGATAATGTGGAGACAAACAAACGGACACAGGTGATGTCAGAGAAATACAAACACACATAGACTCTCGCTTTGTTAATGATGAAACATGAATCAGTTCTGATATGCTTGCAAGAAAAGACTTTGAGGATTGTTTGTTAATTATCAAAATATGTGGCAACATGCCAAGAGCATCAGTGCTCACCTCTCCATCCTCCAACTCAACATCCAGGAAGTCAAAGTCCTTGAAAACACCAAACTGCTGTTCACTTCCTGCATCTTCTGCTTGCAGTTCCTCCTCCCGTGTCACTTCCTCTACAGTGGGGATCAGACTGGTCTGTTGGTCACCTGCATCTAAATCCTCATTTGAAGAGAACACCACCTACACAAAAGAGGTGTAATTAGCCATTGCTAAAACTATGCAAACTGATGTTATGAATACAAGAAGGAAAACTTACAGAGGGGTTTTTAGGCATGCCAGACTCTGGACCGCACAGAGACAGGACGTTCATCAGTTTCTCCCGTGTTCTTCTCTGGAAGTAGATAACAACAAATATCACCATTAAAATAAGAGTTAAAATAAAAAAGCAATTAAAGCTGCAGTTGGTTAATTAAGAATTGACAGATTTTCATTATGGTTGACAATACCTGTGAGAGCTGTGGCCTCTTCCAGCTGACTGGCACCAGCCCATTTGAATTGGAGCCAGAGGAAGTAGAGGAGGTGCTTCTTGTCACGGCAATTACCTGCGGTTTTCCATTACGCCCCACTGCACTTCGCTGGTCTCCATACTTGTGACCTATAATAGGCGTCTGTGGGTCAAATGTTAAAAACAATGTGAAAAAAGCTACAATGATGAGTTTATAAAAAAGTTTTGAAACTACAATAGATATACATAAGCCTTCAAAAATTTGGGGTTGGTAAGATTTTGTTCATGTTTCTGAAAAAAAGAGACTCAAAAATACAGTAAAACAGTAATAATGTTAAATATTTGTATAATTTCTGTTTTTTACTTTAATATATATTAAAATGTAATTTATTCCTGTGATGCAAAGCCACTACTCCAGTCTTTAGTGTGACATTATCCTTTGAAATCATTCTAATATGCTGAATTGCTGCTCAAGAAACATTGCTTATTTGTATAAATGTTTTCATATTTTTGTGGAAAGTGATATTTTTTTCACTATTTGATAACCAGAAACGTCAAAATAACAGCATTTATTTGAAATACAGATCCTTTGTAACATTACGGTCACTTTTGATTCATTTAATGCATCCTTGCTGAATAAAAGTATTAATTTCATTAAAAAAAAATCGTACTGATATCAAACTTTTGAACAATAAACAAAATAAAAGTGACTGAAGACAGAGAAGATGGCAGGCCAAGCACCTCGGAGATGTCAAAGTGGAAGTCCAGCGTTTTTCCTGGCAGTTCTTTAGATGAGTTGTTGAATATGCGAGTAAAAGCGATCTCCGGGGAGCCGGTGGACTCCATGCTGTAGGAGCGCTGCACCTCATCAGGAACCACCAGACTTGCAGAGCGGGACACCACTAACTTCAGAATGTTCTGGGCCTCCTTCCAGTACGGGCTCTGTAGCAACGCACAGACACAACAAACAACAAAACACTTGAGCCATTTTTCACCATACCGCCCCTCTTTTTTCCTTATTTAACCTTGAGGGACTCACGAGATGAAAAGCTTCAATAAAGACCACAGAGGAGGAAAGTGATTATGCAGCTTATAGTTCCTCAAAAGTGCCTGCTAAGCAAACAGCCCCCAGGCCTTTCATACAGACAAATACATACTACAGCAAAGTCCACTGTCCATTACTACAAACACACCCACAGGCAATGGAGAACAGATGAAGGAATTCAAATACACATGGAATGCTCTGTCTTCACAATCTCTTGAAATGGGACAGGCATACTAAAATAAATAATTGGAGGGACTGATTTCTGCGTGTTGACAACAGAAAGAGTAAGCTGTACACAGACCTGTACATATTTGCCAATGATCTTCATGATTTCCAAATTGAACTGTTTGACAGGAGCAGCAGACAGATCAATGTGACTCAGTAGACTGTAGATGATCTGTAGCAAAGACTGCTGCAAGCTGTTCAGGCCCTTCTCCAATAGCTGAAACAGAAGAGGTCAAAAGGCAAGAGATTATATATATATATATATATATATATATATACACACACACTTCAGCACCAAGTTATATGACAGAAAAATGTGGCTTGAGACGTCATCATTCTGTTGCAGTTTTGTTAAGTGTGCAAATATATACATTTATTTTATTGCTGCTGTATTATTTAATTTATTGCTGTCTGAAAAGCTCTAAAAACTCAGATATTTTTATTGAATCCAACTATATGAGTTAATGTATGTCAATCAAATTCCTCCATTCAAATTTACCTCAGCTAGGTATGTAACCAGGTTAAAGGTGATTTCAGAGAAGGAGTCGTGCAAGTAGCGGCACACCACGTTGATCCAGTTGGTGCTGTCTCTCGAGTAACTGTGCGTTGAGTACAAGCTCATCATGTGTGCCAGGTTGGCCAGTGTGGCTGACTTTTCTTCAGCACACACTTTGGCGATCCGATCAGCAGTCTCCTTACAAAACCCTGTGGGGTTGTCAAAGTGCTGGACCAGGTGTGGCAGCAGGCACAGGACATTCAGAGGAAAACCTGACAGGAAATAGGTTCAGAAAATAAATATATGGATACATCCTAAATTACTGAAACAGATATTAATATTGAACCATGAGCGCACCTGCTAGCTGTGAGGGGTCTATGAGTGTGTGTCGGGACACAGTGATGAGTTTACTGAGGAGGTGAATCGTGAGCTCCTGTGTTGCAGCTGAAGTGAAACCCTTCAGGAAGAGCGTCAGCAGGCCGGGGAAGTTGTACCACTTCAGTTTGGCCTGCACTCTCTCCAGCTTCTCTCTGCTGTCCGGCTTCTCCAGGGGCATCTGGGCCAGCAGTCGGTTCAGCAGCCTGAGTGCCAGCAAGTACTCAAACTCATAATCGGACTCCAGCAGCGACGTTGCAATCCAGAAGACCGTTGCCATCAGGTTGGTGGGGTCAGCTGGTGGCACCACCTCACCAGATCCTCCTCCAGTTCCACCCCCACCTCCTCCATCACCACGAACACCATCCTCTCGTAATGATGATAAGCTCCGTGTGCGGGCTAGATTTCCGTGGCTGCCACCCAGTCGGTCGGGTACATCGAGGGTATTGCTGCGGTGACGGTTTCCCAGGCGTTCACCCATCAGACTGGCACGGAGTGAGTTGCTGCGAGCGTGGCTGTAATGGACATGCAAGAAACTTCCACTGCCAAGGTTCAGCTGACCGGTACTTTTCCTGTTATTGGCAAATTTGGTGCCCTGCAGAGGATCATGGGAGGCCCTACAGAGGTGGAGACAGCGTCTCAGGTTTATTTGGGTAAAAAAATGTGTTATATATGAAGAGAAATAATGTTTTTTATGTTTTGTTGTAGCAGAGCATGTCTTACTGTGAGAGTGCAGTGAGCAGGTCGTAGCTCTTCATTGTTTCAGCAAGAGTATCTATACCAGCCTCTAGTGTCAACAGTAACTCGATAACAAAACCCTGCAAGAGACAGATGAAATGTTTGATTATGACTGTTTAGAGATCAACACTTAGCAATGCCTGAGAACAGTGCGGAAGAGGTTTTTGTCACATGTCTGATTGGGCCAACATGCACAATGATTGAAATAAAGTAAAATCTAAAGTAGTAGACTAAAGTAGATGATGTTTTGTTGAAATTGTAAGAATGAATCTTGGAAGGACCCAAGATATTATATTTATATTATTTATAAATAACTCTTTAAGCGAGTTCACTTCATAAAAGAGTTTTCTACATACATTAAAAGCTGGACAGTCCATGAGTTCAATAAAATATGTTTGACACAAAGGGGAATCTTACAAAACATGCATTGAGTAGGGTCTTCACCTTTAAGCAAAAATGCAGCCTTGTATGGCCTATGTGACATATATAACACACACACACACACACACACAGACATATATATATATATATATATATACACACACTACCGCTCAAAACTTTGGGATCAGTAAGACTTGTAATGTTTTTTAAAGAGGTCTCTTATGCTCATCAAGGCTGAATTTATTTGATCAAAAATACAGAAAAATTTTTTATTACAATATAAAATATTGGTTTCTATTTTAATATACTTTAAAATATAATTTATTTCTGTGATGCAAAGCTGAATTTCCATCAGCCATTACTCAATATTGAGCAGCACAACAGTTTCCAGCACTGATAATAATTCAGCATATTAGAATGATTTCTGAAGAATCATGTGACACTGAAGACTGGAGTAATGATGCTGAAAATTCAACTTTGCATCACAGAAATAAATAATATTTTAAAGTATATTAAAATAGAAGCCATTATTTTATATTGAAATAACATTTTGCAAGATTTCAGTTTTTTTCTGTATTTTTGATCAAATAAATGCAGCCTCGATGAGCATAAGAGCTTCTTTAAAAAACATTACAAGTCTTACTGATCCCAAACTTTTGAGCGGTAGTGTATATATATATATATATATATATATATATAGCCTAAAATTACTACTTAGGGCCAAGTACGTTGGTAGGGCAAGTAAAAAAATCTGAAGTACTGGCCCGATCAGGTCAGAAGAAAAAAATCCTCATTGTTGAGGCCTGCTGTAGCTTTCTTATCAGTACTTCTGGAAGACTGGGACATTTCTATATACCTGAGCCTCTTCCCCTGGATCTCCCACAGTCTCTACCAGACGAGAAAGCACGTCTGACAGTGTGGAGGCTGTGAGTGGCTGTTTCAGTGCTCTGAAGATCTGGAAAGAGCGACCAGCGTAATGCCGCGATGAGCAGGACAGAGCTGTCTGCAGAGCAACTTCACTCAGTTCCCGCTCCAACTGGTAACCTAATCAAACATGCAGCACAAGAACCCATCACAATCACAGCAGAAACATTTCAATTCTCTTAAAGAAATAAATTAGCATTCCTTCAATATGGAAGTTGGTCCTCTACAAAAATTGTGTCTTACCGGACGGTGTTTGTTTGAAGACGTTGACAACATGGCGAAGGAATACACTAAGCTGATCAGCACTTTTGATGTTGGGGTTTTTGGGAGAGACGTCTTCATGGTTCCACAGCGGACCACGTTTCCTATGGGCCAACCAATCAGAAGAAAAGAATTAGAGGAAGTGACACAACAGGAAATGTCTAACATAGAACAAAGGCAAAGCAGGCTCACACAACTCTTAGTGAACAACCATTATGTAAAAAAACACTCTGAATCAAACATTCACACAGATGAGACTGAGCGCACACACACACACACACACACATGCAAGGCAACAATACCCTCTCCTGTTAGACATGGCTGCAGGCAGAGGAAAACATATAGTATCTTAACAAAAAATAAATGTACATTCAATATGTATCAAGGGAAACTAGACAGGAACAACATTGATTATTTAAAAAAAAAAAAAAGCACACTTATTTAAATCTAAAGTTCTGTATTTTGATGTTAAAACACTTCCCTTCCCATCTTTTTATGCAAAGACAATTATGAGAAAGTCATAAACATCGTGACTTATGTACTCCAGTAGGACATAATATTACTAATACTAAAAACTAAATGTTTTATTTATACATTTGTTATTCACTTCTAGCCACAGCGACTTGGGGCCAATTGCTCCGAAAAGGTATTGGGTGATACAGCCAAAATTATTACAATCTTTTTTATATTGATCATGATGTAAACATAACTTGTTTGTTTACAAGTAAACTCCAAAGGATAGACTCTCTGGATTCTGTGTTTTACAGTTAAATACAAATCTATCCTCAAAAACAGTGTAATAAAATTAATTCATAAAACTTTAACAATTTAATCAATCGGTTAAAATGCCAATATTAAATGAAAATATAATCCTAACCTTCGATTTTTTGTCAAATAAGGAGCACAACAAAACTTGTATACTCTATAAATGTAAAAAAAAGTGGAAAAATAAATAAATAAATGTAATGTTTTAATACATGTATTTACTATTTTTAAATGCATTACTATTATCATTACTATTGATAGATACATTTCACAATAGACAATAGTAATAAATTTCTGTCATTAGCGTTTTACATTTTTTAAAGTTTAAGCAAACATTTATTTTTGTGGATTGTCATGGAGAGCTTTGAGCCATTATTAGGCTCCGTAACCCAATTCTTTCTTTGCCAGAAGCACTCCTGAACATACAAAACTCTCAAGCAGGATTGCATGTTATTGGTTAAAATGTTTGGTGTATTCAGCATTTAGATAATGAAATCACAACCCTAAGAGGAAGAATTTGACAGACTGGCCTGCAGAGACCCTTCACCTTGAGCTGATGAACTCGATGAGGTTTTTGACCTTCTCGTCCTGCTCTGCAGACAGGTCCACTTCGTTAAGGAGAGTAGGAGGGAGGTGAGGCAGCACTGAGCTGCCCAGACTGATACTAGAGGATGTGGAGCTGGAGCTCAGGCCAGAGTCTGTCATTGGAGACGGCTGGTAGTCTGGCATCAGCTCTGTAACACCTAGGAGAGACAAACCAATGCACAATTATTTATTACTGTAATACATTACTTATTATTATAATTAAAGGGATAGTTCACCCAAAAATGAAAATTCTGTATCACATATACGTAAACAACATATGCATAAAGTATGTGATACTCTCCAAAATGGTGCCAGGGTGACACGGAGGAGACAAATTGTTGAATAAAGTCGTTATTTTTGTTTTCTTTGCACACAAAAAGTATTCTCGTAGCTTCGTAAAATTGCGGTTGAATGCTGATGTCACATGGATTATTTTAACGATGTACTTACTACGTTTCTGGACGTTGATCGTGTTAGGATCCTTGCTGTCTATGGAGGGTCAGAGAGCTCTCGGAATTCATCAAAAATATCTTAATTTGTGTTCCGAAGATGAACAAAGGTCTCACGGGTTTGGAACAAAATGTGGGTGAGTAAGTAATGACAGAATTTTCATTTTTGGGTGAACTATCCCTTTAATTACTATTATCAAGCAGTTGGATGAGAGCACTGAGGCAGACAGATACTGCAAAACACCTTTGCTTTTAAATACCTGTGAGGTTGAACTCCTGAAGAGTGGGTTTGACTGTCAGAACTCTGGGCTCATTCAGTTCACGGTTGCGAAGAAGTACAGATGCTAGTGACTGGACACTGCTGTTGGTGCCCTGGACGACCAGCAGGTGAAGCAGTAAACGCTTGCAGTGCTCATAGACCTCTGGGTGCTGATGGTCAAAGCCTACAAGCACAAATATGCATTTCAGGACATACAATGTGCAACATTCCAGTGATGATGGTTATTAATAAACTGTACAGTTGTGTGTGTGTTACCTATAAAGATGGCATGCAGTAGCAGGTGAAGGTATGAGCTCCATTCCACTTTGACCCCGTGGTCTACAATGAGGTCAGTCAGCAAGATCACAGCAATGTTACACCTGTAAAAAAAATGGCAATGTGTTGTCAGCGGTCAAATGTCAAGGAGAACAACACTGAGTCTGATTTAGGGCACACTGAGTACGTCGAGTCACCTGTGCAGGGAGACTCCAGGTGTGGTGGTCTCAGGCAGGTAATCGATTAGTGGTGACCAGCAGCCGCCAGTGGGAGGAAATGGGAGGGGCTCTGGCCGGTTATGGTCCATCACCTTTAGACGCCAGTTAGCATAGACAGGCATAGAGTCACCTACAGAGAGAAACAACATGTTCATAACAATACCATTCAAAATTTTGAGACCTGTAATATTTTTTAATGTTTTGATAGAAGTCTCTTATGCTCACCAAGGCTGCATTTATTTGATCAAAATACAGGAAGAACAGTAATACTGTGAAATATTATTAAAATTGTAAATTTTAAAATGTAATTTATTCCTTTGATGGCAAATGCTGCCCATTCAATTTTACACGGATTCTACCTTTATATTTACCTTTATACCTATATATATGTCTGCCTTCAGACCGAGTATTTTTTTGGTCAGAGCAGGAGCAACATCAGAAGTTTGAGGACAGTGATGTTAATGTACTCACTCTTCTCCTCCTCATAGGATCCTCCAGAGCTGCTGCTGTAACGGGACTCCAGCCGATGGTGCTGTCTGTTCAGATTACTGTTTAGACCAGTGTAGATGTCCAAATGAGTGTAACTGCACAGAGATACAGAAGTTACATTCAGGTTCCACTTAACAACTTCATCTAGTACTTTTGAGGAAGCAACAAATAAAGAACAACCAATAAGCAATAGCTGATAAATGGTTCTTGGTTTATTTTTAGTAGGATTAGTAAAAAGTAATGACTAATGTTTCTTGTTTGTTTCTTTATAAATGGAACACATTTCCTAAATCTAGAATCAGTTTACCTGTCCTCCATATTGGAATCTTTGATTTTGCTCTCATGGTGTCCATCAGGTCCAGGTACCATGGTGTTACTACTGGACGTTGTCCCTGGATAGAGCCAAACATTTCAACAAAATGACAGTGAAAATGTGATTGCTTCCTTAGATCACCTGTTTATCAGAAACTTTTCTGTAATCTTTGGGTTTCCTAAATGGTTCCTACTCGTCTTATGATTCTTAAACTAATTTGTATAAAGGTAATGTTGAGAACAAAGTGGTCAGAGTATACATATATACTGTACCTGATGTAACAGAAGGGATCTTGTAAGAAGTAGTAATGCGGTAGTAAGGTGGGTTATCCATATGAGTGACAGCTGAGGATACAGGGTCAGTTAGCTCCAGCTCATACATTAACTCCTCCAGCAGCTGCATTGTCTTATCCCTGCCCAGATACACCACTACACGCTTCACCTGCAAAATATTAGGAAATGCAATCAGAAACACAACAGCATGGAAGAAACTAAGTTATTAAGAAACATGGCCAAAGTCACAAGTGCAGCCATTCTTGCTTAAGGATTGAGTATCAGGTCAGGACAGGTGTCACTCACATAAGGAAGGAGACTTGGTTCACTGTTAACTCCAGACATGCTGATGAGGAAGTGCAGGATGATCTTTAGATTTTTAGGCCAGCTGTCAGCTAAAGTGGTCCAGACGTTCTCAATCTCTGACCATGCAAATTCATCACCATACTGTAAAATCAGACCATATGAACATTCATGCAATAATTACCTTAAAAATGGGTATAAATATTAGTAAATGTGTTAAAATGATATATTTCTATAAAATCAAATGAAACTAAAATTAAATGGAAAAGGGGAAAATTATCTTTGCAATAGAAATGTATATTCACTATAGATATTTACACCTGTACCACAGTCAGCACATAATCGACATATAGTATGTGTGCGTTTACCTTTGCAGTCATGAACATGAGGTTGTTGAGGATCATGGTAGTGGCATGTGGTGAACCCCAGCCCTCTCCTCTCAGCCAGCGACGGCTGTTCACCATCATCATCTCTCTCTCATGGGCGTCCTCCTCTTCCTCTGTTGATGGAGGTTCCTCTTGACGTCGTGCTGAAGGCTTGCAGTCCACCAGCTCTATGTTGTTCATCCAGGGTAGGAGGTAATGCAGCATCACCTGCCGGCCACCAGGGTGCGCTGTCTGGATTCTCTGACTCACCTCTGATTAAAACAACACAGAATCTTATTACAAACACAGTGTTTATGTGGGGGGGAAAACTTTTTGGCTCGCATAAAGTTATTACCAATGTTAGATTTACTGAGCGTTACATTTATAGATGTTTGACCTCCGTGAAGTTGGCACCCCATAAAAAGAAATAATCACCAAAACTATGCCATTCGTTTGTGCTGATTTGTACCGCAAAAACGAACGTTTGTGCTGGTTTGGTGTTTGAGATATTAAACAATTTTTTTGACCGTGTCACTCTCCACCCCACAGAAATGATAAATATATTTATAGAAACCTTTGAATTACTACTTTAAAACGAAATAATTCAAAGTCTTCAATAAAACTCTTCAAATAATTAAAAACAAACTCTTTCATTATGTAATCCGTAAAGATGCATTTCTCTCTAAAGGCGCATCCAGAGGAGATAGCGAGTCAGGATCGACTTGCGACACTGACTTAGAAATACTTTTTAATAAATAATTAAAATATCTCCTTACTATCCCCCCACGACACATTCATGGTCATAATTTTTTTTTTTTACTTATTTTTAAATCTCTTGTAAGGGCAGCCGTTTTAATCCAGTCCTCTTTTTTTTTTTTTTTTACCAACTCTTCCAGACATGAAAATTAGCTCGAAGCATATAGGGGCCCTATAGCTCTATAGGGGCGTATAAGTCGGGCTCGGGCTGAAATGGAGGGCTCTAAAATAATGGTCTTTGGATTTCCCCTTACCTTAAAACAATTGTCGTTTGTGTTTCATTATTAAAGCCTATTAATTAAAACACATCAGTCATAAAATACAATGGCAAATTCGCATATAATTAAATATCTAACTTTTATTAACAAAAAATGAATAAGACGAATATTGCCTACTTGCGTTGTAACCCAAATAAATAAGGTATTTTCCCTTGTTAAAAATGACTGCTTAGTTTGTGGTTCATTGTGTTTTTTATGAAAACACAGCAACAATAAAGACAAACTCACTTATATTAAACAAAGAAATGAAACTTTTATTAATATTATTATAATATATTTATATACGTTCGGCTATGCATACTAGATGTTAAATGCAGTAATACCATGTAATTACATTTAGCCTACATATAGCCTATAATGGCATATTAAAGGCTTGTTTTTTTTGCCATTACATATTTATGAAGAATTGTATTTACAGCCAGAATTTTAGTTACAACCAGGATTTCTTTTCAAGGTACAAATCGAGCACAAATGAACGCAGCATTTGTTGTGAAGAACGCCCTGTATTTGTTATTTTTAGGTGGATAAATGCAGTGTTCAATTTTCTAACGGCACAAATTGAGCACAAAGGAAAGGATTTAGACTCACTGTAAAATAAATGAATGAATAAATAAATAAATACAAAAAAGAAAAACTCTGTGGCCGCGCTAAATGGGTTTAAATGGGTTTTTGTTATATAAAAGAAGCGGTCATAGTTACAGGGTTTATTTTAACGGCACAAACCAGCACAAATCGAGCACAAACGGCACCGGTTTGGAGAGATTTGGACGGCATGGGGGTGGAGAGTGATGACACTGCCTTGAGTTCTGTTTGTTATTTCTAAGAAGGGGAAATATATTTGATTTTCATTTCAATGGTACAAATCAGCACAAATCGAGCACAAACGAATGACACCAGTTTTGTGCGATTTAGACGAACTGGGGTGGAGAGTGACGTCACAGCTCCCAAAAACATTTTGGTTATATCTAAGGAAGGAAAATACATAGAGCATTTGTTTTAACAGCAAAAACGAACTGCGCTGATTCGGAGCGATTTGGGCAACATGGAACAACATGGGTCGTCACACGGTCAAAAAAATTGTGTTTAATATCTCAAACACCAAACCAGCACAAATGTTTGTTTTTTTCCCGGCCACAAATCAGCACAAACGAATGGCATAGTTCTGGTGATTATTTCTTTTTATAGGGTGCCAACTTCACGGAGGTACAGGTTTGTGTATGTACCTGAGAAGATGGGAAGGGTGAGTTCAGGGTAGGTCCGTGCCAGTTCTTCACTGAGCTGGTAGTAGGACACTGAGTACAGGTGAGGGAGAGGGAAGGCTGGAGACAAGACCCCATCGGTACGCTGGATCTCCAGTTTATGGGCGTAACGGAACAGTTTGGGCTCCAGGATCTAATATTCAAACATATGATTTTATTTACCCAATTGCACACTCTTGGTGTCCTTCGACAGAAAAAAAAGCTTAAAAATCTCTACTCACCTGCAGTAGCTGCATGGCGACCTCATAGATGTCTCTGGAAGAGTCAGCAGCTTTAAACAGGATGAGATTCAGCAAAACCACAGAGTCAAACTGGTAATCCCTGCAAGAGACAACAAACACACAGTATTCATTTAACCTGAATTACTGACACAAATTCAATCACATTTACCACAAGAACATTGTAATACGTACCTGTTATGAAAGACATTAGCGATGGCTCTGAAGCAGCCTGAAGCGACTCTGCGTGAGCCAGTGTAGCAGCGATCCACCGCCCAGAACATCAGATTGCTCTGGTCCGGGTTCAACTCTAATAACAACATCACGGCCTCACAACCCAGCTGATGCACCTGAGCACAAACATACATGCATGCGACAGTTCATGAAAGCTGATTTGTTAGTGATGCTAATGTCAGAACGTGAGTTAAGTGCATTTACCTTGCGGTCTTGAGAGTCTAGAATGTTGTCCAACCACTTATACAGATACCCATCAGAGGACAGGCCAACGTTATCAGCCACCGGACCACAACACAGCACTGCAGACATGGCCTGTGCAGACACATCATACACCATATTCAGACTCTGTTAGAGTGATATCTGTGATGACCGCAAATGCAAATGTGTGTTTTGTGAGATTGCACCTTTAGTGCACAGTACTGGTGTCTGTTGATCTGCATGTTGCGGTCGCTGTATCGGTCCAGAGGTGTGAACATGATGCTGAAGGGTCCAGCCCAATGACTGAAGAGCATAAATAAACTATGTCTCAGTGACTGCTGAGGGAATATACTCCTCCTCTGATGCACTGCAGAAACACAATCATGAGATCAGTTGAAGTTATATCAGTGAACTTGCTTTAAGAGCTTTTCTGTGGCTGTGTACCTGGTACATTCTGTATGATGTTGGCCACTAGGGCACTGAAGTGAGAGCGGATGTCTCTCAGTGTGTCTGAATCTTTGTCGTTCTCAGCCTCCAGAAGCTGTCGGGTGAGATCCACGTATTCCAGCAGAGTGCTGTTCAGATAGTGAGACTCCCCGTCCAGACCACCACTTGCACTGCACAGAGAATACACAAACATCTTACTGTTTAGGATACAAAAAGTGCTAGCTACGAAATTAGCCTTAGCAAAACAAAGGAGTTAGAAATGTTGTTCCAAATATAATTTCCATCATAGAATGCTGTTAAGCACAATAGATCACTTGAAATGCAATGGAAATGTTTATGACTTTCACAAAAAAAGGCATTTGCCCTGTGATGCATGTTGGACAATGTTAACATTTAAATAAGTCAAACCAGTGAGAAAGTCCTTCTCTTAAAATGCTACATTTATTCAATCAGAAATATAGAAAAAAAAGTGAAATATTTTTACAATTTAAAATAAATGTTTACTGTTTAATTATATTTTTAAACTGCAATTTATTACTTTGATGGCAAAGCTTATATATCAGCATTTAAAGCTGAATTTTCAGCAATTTTTATCAATGTTGAAAACAGTTGTTTTACTTAATATTTTTGTGCAAACCTTGATACATTTTTACTGCCCCCAATAGTAGTGTATATGTTGTGAGTGTGTGAGACTTACATCTGACTGATGACTCCTGAATCGGCCAGTAGCTCAAAAATCCGGACCAGCTGGACTCTGAGAATGTCACGACGCCGGCGTCGCTTCATGTTCTGCAGAAACAAACAAAAAACACAAGGATCAATAAATTGTTTAGATTTGCAACTGTATTATGAATAGATGGACAAAAAGCTTGCATTTAAATTGTCTAGTTGAAACATTTATCCTCACAGGCATGGATTCCTTCACAGGGTCAAGTGTCAAACTGTGGTGAACTCACCTCTGGCCTTCTCTCCAGCGCTTCTTTAATGATGGTGTTTAACTCCTCCAACAGCTCTCTGTAAGACACACAACTGGGTTAAAATGCAATTACACACAATATAATTATGTATGCACTTTTTTCTGCACTTTGTCAGGTGATCTTAAGATGTACCTGAAGGCAACAGGGTTGGTCCTGCCAAGCCCCAGGACGAGAGACTCCGTGATGTCCATGCTCTCAGAGCGCATCATGGGAACCACATGCTTGAACAAGGAGGAAGGGGACGGAATGCTAATGATCTGCAAAGACACACACATGTACACAATCTTGTTTCAAATATGGTGTCCCAAATCAGGTAATGTGCAAATATATATTACAATTCAACAATGATAATTATTGTATCTGACATTACAGCTGGTAGGGTGCTATGACCTCTGACCTTTGAGTCATAACTGTATCCGCTGTCTGGGGTGGATGCCAGCGTTTCAGGTGGGGAGCAGCGTACAGAGCCAGGGGCTGATGAGGAAGAAGAGGATGAAGATGTGGAAGAGGTGGCAGAACTGCAGCAGAGGATTAGGTAGTTCCTCCAAAGGCCCACATATGAGTCACTACTACTGCTCATGCTGTTCACCTTCTTAGCATTGATCGGGCTGCTGCAAGGTCAAAGGTCACAGAGGAAAGTCACATAATCTGTCTTACAAAAATACATCATAAACAAACAGTTTGCCTAATAAAAAGAATACAGATTTTTTTATATGGCTGTTTATAACTATGTAATAATAAGTTTATTATTACAATTATGAAATATTATTAATTCTCACATTAATATAGTGAAAACAGTGTGGAAAATTTTAATACAATTTAAATTATTATGTGTGACCCACAAAACCAATCATAAGTTGCACGGGTATATTTGTAGCAATAGCCAAAAATACATTGTATGGGTCAAAATTATAGATTTTTCTTTTATGCCAAAAATCATTAGGATATTAAGTAAAAATCATGTCCCATGAAGATATTTCGTAAATTTCCTACCGTAAATATATAAAAACTTAATTTTTAATTAATAATAGAGAACTTCATTTGGACAACTTTAAATGCGATTTTCTCAAAATTTTGATTTTTTTGCACCCTCAGATTCCAGATTTTCATATATTTGTATCTCAGCCTAATTTTGTCCTATCATAACAAACCATACATCAATGGAAAGCTTATTTATTCAGCTAAATCTGAATAAATGTTTAATAATAAAAAAATTTGTCAGTCAAAAAATTGACCCTTATGACTGGTTTTGTGGTCCTGGGTCACATTTATTATATTTTATATTTTTTTATTACCTGGATGTTTACTGAAATTTTACATCTTTAAACATTTTGAATCTATCTGACAACAATGGCTATCAAATATAGACTGAAAACATTAATAATTAAACTGTATAATTATTTTTACCCATGTCACAGAGCCCTACTAGAGACACATTTGAATGTAAAAACATACTTGATGTCGACTTGTGGCGAGAGCAGCTGAAGGCGTGTGGAGGCGAAGACCCAAGCGTAGCTCAGCGCAGTGGGGCAGTGCTTGGGCAGGTGTTCTTGCCGCAGGTAACTAGACAGGCTGATGACCCAGGGGTCCTGACCTTGTGTCACATGGGCAAACACCCATATGTGGGAGGGGCTTACCACATCAAACTGGTGGCTGATAGGAGACGAGCTCCACTCTGCCAGAGTCTGAAGGTCTATTCCACTGGGACAGTACAGCAGATTTGTCTACAGCAAAAAGGGGCAAAAAAAAAAAGTTAAAAAAGAGACAACCCTGATATAGTTTCATTTTTACTTTTTTAGATTTCTAAGCATTCCTGTCTGGAGGGGACACCAACATCCAAAAACACAATGTTCTGAATTCCCTCACCTGATCGGCCCCAGTAAGGTGAATAAAGCTCTCGAGGACTGAAGCACTCAATCTGTCCATCACGTCTATAGCCAACTCCTCATCTCCCTGAGAGAGAAACAGGACAAAGAAATGAATATGAAGTGCAAACAAAAAGAAAAATGTTGTCCCATATAGGTGAACAACAGGAAGTCATTTAGAACAGATGGTTACCTTAGCAATGCCAAGGGCCGTGTGCAGTGATCGGACTTCTTTGAGGACATTGACAGCAAGTCTGCGTGTTGCTGGTCGACAGCTGCACAGCACGACCAGAGCCAGACCCTCCACCACATGCAGAACGGTCCAGAGAGGAGATCGCTCCAGAGGGAGAGATGGGCTCTAAAAAAATACATGAAAAAATACCATGTTAAACTACAAGCTAAAAATGTATGATAAACTACAATAAAAATAAAACGATAAAAATCGTTCAAAAGTTTGGGGTTGGTAAAACTTTAATATACAGTACAAAGAGTAATATTGTGCAATATTATTACAATTCAAAAAAACTATTTAATAACTATTCTATTTAAATATATGTTAAAATGTAATTTATTCCAATGATGGAATTTTCAGCATCCATTACTCCAGTCTTCTGTGTCACATGATACTTGAGAAATCAACTGCATTCACGAGCTCCTCGAATGCTCTCATTTCCTGAGTTGTGCTTTTAAGTCGGAATGTGAAAACAACATGGACACTCTCGTTACTACAAAGATGTGTTGGATTTGTATTATTAGAGCTTTCCGACTTGAGTTCATGTGCATTTTCTCAGTCGGGAAATTATTTTTCACATGCTGTGCCAGTGATGATGATGCTTACGTTCGTTTCGGAGAACCAGAGGACAAATATTTCAATCGATCGCTCAGGCATGGCATCGAAATGAGGCACCGAAATCTGCGTTCGGATTCGGTTCTAGTACATACCGGTTACATGGGTACCAGTGCCATATTGGTACCGGGTTTCGGTACCCAACCCTATTCATAAAGAGCTGCTGCTTCATCTGTATCATGACGGGTGATCAATAGTTCACTTGCTGCTTGTGACGAGCTAATGAGGAATATGACGCAATGGACTCCATTTACAAGCCAATAAGAGCCATAATTTCTGCTTTAACTGCATTGATGCACAAAGAGATGACTCATAAATCGGCTGTTCAGCAGAAGCAATGGATGATGAAAGAGGGATTCATAAAAACTCGGCTAATGAATCTGTGATTAACACATCACGGCTCGTCCAAATCGAGTCACTGACTAAGCATTTGTCTCTCTCACACTTTTGGCTACTCGGTCTCTCTCGCACACACAGCAGCTAATCAGACTGCAGTACAGAGCATCAAACAGGGTGTAATGACCAACACTCACCATAGGGGGCGATATGATTGCACGGTTTGCAGTGAACATAGACTACATAAGTATTAGAGCACTACTAGTACAGTGAGGACTCCCTAGTGTCTTTTATCAACAGGGACGCCATTTCTTTATAGAATTATCAGCAATACATTTTTCCTCTCTGTTCTAATGAGTCTGCAGGTACATTTCAAATAGTTGTTCATTCAAAACAAGCCACTGTAAATGCAATAAACTTGCAAACTGTTTAAACTTCTACAGAAAAAGACTGTGATCTGCAGCATCATGGACACTCAAAGTGATGGTCGAAATATTTATCTTTTCCATAAATTTCCAGAAGTGCATTGTGATTGCTGTCAAACTTTGCTGCAAATTGCTTGCAACATTAACATTTAGGCTAAGAGACAAACCTGGTCCTCTTGCAAGATAAAAATAAATCACTTTCATAATTAACACAAAATTTGATTAAATAATTATAATTCATTCTATATTTTCATCTACAATTTTTTTTGGAAATGTATAGTAATGCAAAATACTTTTATATTTGCTTTGGCTAAAGGGTGACATGAGAGGTTTGGGCTTAATTGATGCTGCCTCAGATAAAACATTTCTGACGCCTTCATCAGTGACTCCTTGAACTGGGTGGTTTTCCTGTGTGAATTCTTGAGGACAGCAGGACCGTAATGAAGCTATTTAGCATTGTTTCCTCTATGGACAGGCGAAAGAGCCAGAAGTCTCAGGAAGCCCATGTGGAACACAGGTCAATCACATGACTTCTGAGGGGCAGGGTTAGCTCCCTTGTGGGTAACCATGGTAACTCACCTGCAGGGTCTCAATCTGCTTACGGATGCTGTTGTTTGACGGCATCTGGAGCCAATAAACGCAGGGGTAACAAAAAAGATGACAAAGGACAGGGGGTGATGGTGATGGGGAAGACATGCAGGTTAGAAAAAGAACAAAAGACAAACTTAAGAACAAAACTAAGTTTTGTGCTACAACAACAACAACATGCAAAACAAAGTGCAGGGTGCATGGTATTTAATACTTCAGTGTCAGATTCCTACAGAATCAACACGAGCATTTCAAAATTGATCTATACTTCTTTAAGAAATGAAAATGGCCCATTAGACAAAAGCTTCTAGGAAGATTATTTTTAATTGAACTTAAATACAGTTGATGTGCTGATGAAGATGAAGAGTTTCTGATGGGTGAGAAGACAAATGGCAGGAATGGATTAAAATGGATGATTACAAGCAAGAGTGATTGTGTGCTGACTTTAGTCAGAGCAGACGCTATAAAAAAAACTTAACGGAAATGAAAATAAGGCTTCAAATAAAAAAATAATGTCCACTCTGATTAAGGTCTGTTGATCTGGGAAGACAAACTACAGCAGGGTTAGACCAGACAGGGGAGCAGACAGACAAGCAGAACTGCAAAGGGAGTCCATGGATCAATCAGGAGAGGAATAATCCACCACTCAACCTACAAATCCCATAAACCTGGGCTCAGTTGGCTAGAGACATTACACCAGATCACTGAGAAAACTTCCCTTCTGATCCTGAATCGTTCACATGACTTTTTGAGAAGTGTAAGAAGCGGCCTAAAGTGGATTTGGAGTAAGATTCACACTACAATCCAATTCTGATCCAGTCCTGATCTAGATTAACGGATAGCGAGTAAAGGATTTAATTGGTACTGCAGGGAGTTACATAGAGTTTGATTACTCATTCATAAAATCACCATCACCAAATCAAAGCATCACGTATCAATCCTCAAGATTCTCATGATATTGCATAGATTGGAGAAAACCCCAAAAAATGATCACATCCTGGTAGCTGAACCAGTGTCAATGAAAAAGAACGTGGACAAGCACAAACACACACTGTTTGGAGATATGATTGAGAAAGAGTGGATGACAGGTATAATTAACTGAACAGTATAAGCAAGAGGCATTTTACAGACGTTGTTTGTAACACCACACCTTTCTCCGAAATTATGTTTGTGAACCAACCCACTTACAGAATGAATTTTCATATGAAATCACCAAACCTGCCTCCAGGCTTCAGAATCTGTATGTATCAACTCTTCTGTTTTTGCAGTGCCCAAACAACATGATTAAAATGTAGGATTTATAGCTACTTTTGCTACTTTTAAGCTGCATTTTCTATGGTGCAATCTCTGAAACTGTCAGTTCTAGTATTTTCTTTTTTCACAGGATGTCACAAAGCTAAAGTAAACACTCTGTATTCATTCCACTTCAGTCCTGTTGGCAAAGGTAGGGCCAACACATTGAGACTGTTACTCAAGAGATTTTATGAGGCATGACTACAGAGAGCTCGCGAATAAAACAAAAGTAGTACTGTCTGAACGACAATAGAGTAGACGAGACTCAATATGTATTGACAGTGATGACGTGGCACATTCCACAAAAACAGAACAAAATAGGGCCTTAAATGTTGAAAACAATATTTAAAGTACATATTTATCTTTTTTTTCAACAAATGATCATTTAAAAGAGGTGCTTAAGTTTGCTTAATTCAAAACAATCAAACTAAATTTTTTACGAGTCATTCTGTTTTTTGCATGCAATTCACAATCCATAACTGAGACATGTCTTTGGGACAAAGTTAAATGTTTAACGATCTATTCAAGAGATTTGGTAAAACTTATGTTGCTGTTGTGGGATTTTAATTGTTCAGAAGGTCAAGCCCCTTTTATGCTAGATAACAGTCGATTTAACCAAGTTACTAGATTTAAAAAAATAAATTATATTTCTTCTATTATATATATTTATATACATTTAATTATATATACTCTATTCATGAGATATACCTAGTAACACTAAAACATCTTTAGTGTCCAAAATGAAAGGATTAGTTCACCCAAAATTTTAATTGCCATTAAAGGGTTAGTTCACCCAAAAATGAAAATTAGCCCATAAATTACTCACCCTCAAGTCATCCTAGGTGTATATGACTTTCTTCTTTCAGACGAATCCAGTCGGAGTTATATTAAAAATGGTCTTTGATCTTTCAAGCTGTTTCATGGCAGTCAGCGGGTGTTGCATGCATCCGTCCAAAAGCAGTTAAATAAAATGCACCCATCCATAAAAAAAAAGTGTCTCGCACGGCTCCGGGGGGGTGAACAAAGGCCTTCTGTAGCGAATCGATGCGTTTTCATATGCATCCGTCCAAAAGCAGTTAAATAAAATGCACCCATCCATAAAAAAAAAGTCTCGCATGGCTCCGGGGGGGTGAACAAAGGCCTTCTGTAGTGAATCGATTTTCACGAAACTCACTGGCGCATGCGCAGCACTGACCTCATACGTCATTCCCCCGGAACTGCTTCTGTGTACAACAGTGAGCGCAAGCTACATTAAACATATGAAAACGCATCGATTCGCTACAGAAGGCCTTTGTTCACCCCCCCGGAGCCATGCGAGACTTTTTTTTTATGGATGGGTGCATTTTATTTAACTGCTTTTGGACGGATGCATGCAACACCTGCTGAGTGGCATTAAACAGCTTGAAAGATCAAAGACAATTTTGAATATAACTCCGACTGGATTTGTCTGAAAGAAGAACGCCATATACACCTAGGATGACTTGAGGGTGAGTAATTTATGGGCTAATTTTCATTTTTGGGTGAACTAACCCTTTAATTACTCACCCCCATGTTTTTATGAACCCATACAACTTTCATTCAACAAAACAAATGAAATTAATTTTTTTTAAATATATGGGTCATTTCTGACTCTTCATTCATGTTTATTTGAAAAGCTGTATGTATGTGCATTGATTATTATTTATTTGCAAATAAAAGTCTGAATTAAATCGGTTCATTATATAAATTTAGCATGTCTCATTAAACCACCCAATTCATATGAGAAGGATCATGTGACACTAAAGACTAGAGTAATGGCTGCTGAAAATTCAGCTTTATCATCACATGAATACATTAGAATTCAAAATATTAAAAATGAACAGTTATTTCACAATTTGTAATATTATTTCAAAATATTAGTTTTATTGTATTTTTGATTCAATAAATGCAGCCTTGGTGACCTATCCCAAACCTCTGAATAATGTGTATACATACAAAATTATGTAATGTACACAATGCAATTTAATTATCATCAGTTTCAGAAATCACACACTTGTGTCTCACATCAGGTTTGTATTTGTCCAGGGTGCATCTGTAGAATTTGCATAGAAAAGTGTGTGTTTGCGTATACAGACTCACCCCTCTTTGTGTTTAAAGTGCTTGAATGCCAGGTTAAGGACTTCTTGTACTAAGGCGTCTGGCACGGGATGAAGGGGAATCTACGGAAAACATTTCATCAACATCAACTATGATGTGAGGGTCACTGTTTTAATTCAGGATGCCTCATACACTCTTAGCAAGTCTATGCATGTTAATGACACAACACACCTATCGCTGACTTCAGAGACACCACACCTAAGCAATGAAACACAAACCTCACCTGTTTCAAAACTTCCACTGAAACTAGACAAAAAATGAAGTCTATGGCTAAGTCTCTTCGCTCCAGTAGGTAGTCTTTATCCCGGTGCTGTTCATCTCTAAAGAAAGATCAAAAGAGCAGGATTCACAAGTTAAAATAAAAGCACATTTTATCAACTCCAAATAAAAAGTCACAGGAAAGAAGCACATCATATATAGCATCTGTTGAAGCTCTTGCTGAAGAAAAGAAAAAGCGAAACATATGATGATGTGTATTTGTGTAAGATGTATATTTGCGTGTCTGCCCACCCTTTGGACTTGGTGCTGGAGCGAGGTCTGTACTCGTACGACTCGTCTTCTGTCCCGCTCTGTCTTCTGTACCAGTCAAACAGCGTCCGCAACAGCGAAGGCAAACAGTGTTCTGCTATGGAGCTCATAGAGCTTATTAACTGTAACACACAAACACAGTAATACAGCTCAATGACACACTCTTCATGTAGGTTAAACACAGCATGAAATCAAATATTTTCTAAATATTAAGTTAATTAATCTATTAAATGCATGTTATTGATCTTGTAACGAATGAATCATTCATGCATATGTTACCTTTGTTTTATCTTGTCATATTTAATTGAAATGCTATTTAGATCTGAATCTTTTTCACTCAGATAAAGAATGATAATAAATAATAAATAAAACAAATAAACTGCAATAATAAATAATAGATGGCAGTGAGGTTATTGTACATGATTCATCAGTGCAAGTTATTTCAAGGAGAAAAAAAAACCTTCTATTAAAAATTACAAACTTTCTCTACCTCTGAAATATTGTTTATTTGCAGCACAGACTCTAATTGGGAAAGCCATTTTTATTGTGTCTGTAAAACCTAATGAATAAAAAACACTGTCAAGTTGATTGAAGAGAAAGAACAGAGAATACACAAATGGATGAAAATGGAAAGAAAAGGGAAGGGAAGCAAGAGAGATGGCAGCATATTTGAGCGCAGTCAGGTATTGATCTGTCCTATTGTGAGGGCAGGATGGGTGTAGGATGATACGTCCAGTGGTTACTCAACCTTCCCCTGCAGTAACCCAGCACCAAGCATCTCTCACACACACACACACACACACACACACACTGAGATATGGCAGTACAGTAGAAGTGTGTATATGCTGATGAGTGAGTGAGGGATGGTATAGTTCACTATGGTGTGATTCAGAAGAGCAGATCTCTCTGCAGTCACAACACATCACTGACTGAACATGCAGTTCCTGAGAATCGGCACAGGCAAATCCAATAGCCAAATCAGTGTGTGCGTGCTAGCGCTGTGAAAAAAAGACTAATGTGCAGAATGAAAACGTGTGCTTGTTAAAAAAAAGTCATGTTCTGAGGTACAATGGGATCCAAAAGTCTGAGATAATTAATGAAAATACTTCTATTTTAAATGTTTTAAATTTAAAACATTTTTCATTACATATCACATTATCATAACAATTTGAGCGAAACTGTTCAACATATCATAATATTTAGTTTGTCTTACAAAAGGTTTTTTTTTTTTTGCACTCAAGCTGCATGAACTCCTCACATTTGTGACAAACATTTACATGTAGTAATTTAGCAGAAGTGTTAACTAAAACTATTAAAAATTGTTTCCATTAATTGAAATAAAGCTAAAATCAAATCTAAAGATTATATGAAAAACTTAAACTTAATCTAAATGTTGTCTTGGCAACTAACTGAAAATAAGTTGGACTGCAATTATAAGCTTACATAAAATTACTGAATATTATAGTATAAATACTATAATAGTTCAGAAATACTAAAACAACAGTTTAGCAGATGTGAAACAACTTATGAGGAACATCACAAGCGAATCGTCAAACCAGATCAACATGCTCTCCAGCATGATCTGAGATGATCCCAAAAAGCATCTTGGGCTCCAATGGAAGAAAGAACATCTGACTCTCTGTACAAAGAGTCGCATGCTCACAAATTCACTCATTTCATTAGTGATCTAGAATCTTGAATCTGAAATGCATCTTATTCAAATTACATAATAATGTTTCTTTGTTTAAAAATGCTTCAAAGTCCCAGAACGTTGGAACAACAACAACAACAAAAGTTCTGTTTATTTCAAAACTGTTTATATCCAGGTTCAAATTTGAATTTGATTCAGACCCTGCTGTATATGCGGCCTGCATCAGTGTGTGTGGGACAGGATGATGTATGTGGTTAAGGAGAGTTATGTAACTGCTCTTCCCGGCCCTCATGGCACTTGGCAGACACACTCCAACACCCTGAACTGATATATTCTCTCTCTCACACACACACTCCCAGCAGCCTGTGCTGATCTACTGCTGTGGATGAGACAGCGATTCTGCTCTTGGCAACGTCCAGTGCGCGCGCGCGCGCGCACACACCAAAACTCTGTTCACTCTACAGTATAGAGACACAGACACATATTGCTGTGATTTTCTGCATACAGAGCACATTCTCACTGGCTCATTCTTTCTCACACACAGGCCTAATGGCACTGACTGGATCCATTGCAGGATGATGTGTCACTTGCTTTGCATTTTGCTAAACAAAGCATTTTGCTGCAGCTCTGCTGTTAAAAGTTCTGCGCTAATCAGAAATGAGTGATGGAGAGTGAGAGAAAGAGAGGACAGAAAAGCAAAGAGAATAGGAAAGAGATATGCTACACACATTTATAATTATTAAATAATGAAATGAGACACACATATACAAACCTGATCAAATTGTGCATCTTCTCCTCTTTGCAGTGAGCGGGAAAGGAGCTTCTCCTGAAAGAATAAAGATACAAGCAGTACAGTGTAAATTAATAAATGATAGATGGTTCTTAAAAAATTGTTTAACAGGAAAAAGTAGGGATGTACTGATATTGAAGTTACGATACTTATTTTCGTATTTATTTTTAAAGTTTCAGATTTAAAGATGAACTTAAAGTCAATAGTTTTGTTGAAACTCTTGTTCTTTTCCCAGGATTCATTGATGAATACTGAGTTTAAAAAAGCAGCATTTATTAAAAATGGAAATCTTCTGTAACATTATAAATGTCTCTACTGTCACTTTTAATCAATTTAATTCATTCTTACTAAACAAAATTAATTTATTAAAAAAAAAATCTTACTGACACCAAACAAAGATAATATTATATCATTTCATTATAGATCATACAAGTTTGAGAGTGATTTTTAACGCATTCTTTCATTTATAAATATACATCACAAATGTTCATGTATCCAGTATATTTGTACGCTATTGAACACTATTAAATATATACTCCGTTATAATTAATTTTCATCTGAATAAAAAGCAGGTTAAGTGAAATAGTGATAAAATTGAGAATGACTTTGTTTCACTAATGTGAATTAATACCCCAACGTGAGTCATTTAAGTGAGGAATTACCCCAGTTTTTAGACATAAATTTCAGGCCCTGAGAAATTGAATCTCTCTTCAGTCCATTTTCAATAATTTTGTAGTTAACGCAGACTGTAAAATGACTCAAGCACTCCTGGTTAATGGCTGTTATCTGGTTTACATTTGAACAAACACTTTACTATGAGGGAGAAGTTCAAAGTCAGAGAGCTGAACGTCAGTGTTTTCTAAAGCAGCTCCTCTCTGCAGCCTCTTGATACAGTCGTTACCAGTTTAAACTCTTGCTGAGTAAACTGAGAGAGAGCTCAATCTACCACTGAGTAAACACACAAGGAGAGAGAGGAGGGAACACAGAGAGGAAGCATTTAAGGACAAGTCTGGAGAGAGAGAATGTGTGTGTATTTCAGCACGAGGGGCTCTGAGAAGAATCCAACAGAACAGCATTCCAAGAATCCAAGCCCCTGCTTCTGTTTCATGGAATACATGGGGAAGTGTATGTGTGTGTGTGTGTTCTGTTCAGCAACAACCTTTGAAAACGCACACAACTGCCTCTCTTTTTCACGAAATAAACCAACATGGTCTCGAAGCACAACTACTGACCTTTCACCTAGGGTTGTGCCGATAGATGATAGTATCGTGTATCGACGATAGTCAGAGATATCGACGATAGCAGTCTTTGTCGATAGTCAAGACGATATTAGGCTCATTCTCCTATTAATGTATCTCCTATTAATAATAATAATTATTATTATTAGGCGGCCCATTATAATTCGGCTATTATTATCAAATTGCCCCGCTTTTTCATTCAGCACTGTATTACACACACACGCGCGCACAAATGAGGAGCCTGTAGCTGGTGAAGGAGTCTCCAACCACAAACACAGACACATATCGTCTGCTGATATAAGGTATTTCGTTGCACTTTAACAAGTAATCTGAACGGCCTATATACAGGGCTCTAGACTGCGACCGCATGGTCTAAGCTGCTCCAATGCATCTGCTTCATACAGCGCGTGCTGCGGAGCCGCGGCACATTGTAGCAGGAGTCAGATTTCACTGATCACGTGAAGAGAGGTGCTTTCAGCGCAGCGCGAAGGTGCGCAATGGAGGATTTGGTTTACAAACTAAAGTAAAAGACCGCTTCTTCGCCATGCCTTGTCTTATTCGTTTTTGTTAATAAAGGTTAGGTATGCTAGTCTGTCATTGTTGCCTACTGTTTTATTATTGTTGTGCTTTTTAATTAGGAATAACAATAAATCCATCTTTTGTTTTAGTCTTAAAAAGTGAAAGGTGTATAGATATAAGCAAAACAGACAATTATCTTTTCTTGTAAAACGTGACACCAAGATCGCGAATTTGAAAGTGAGAGTGCATGAAAAGAGGAATTCCTGTTCACAAAATTTAAATCACAAATAACACTGATGAAAAAGAACGGGTTGAATGTTGAACACTTTCGTTACCATATAACTATAAACTATGATAAAAGTTGTAAAATGTTGTAGCAAAAAAAAAATAATAATTGCGACCAAATTATGTGCTTGTGCGATCAACTGAGAAAGTTAGTCGCAAAAGAGCGACCAGTGGGAAGAATGAGTCGAGTCTAGAGCTCTGATATATGTGCAATATTTTAAACCGAGCCCTCATTAACCGAGTTTAATGCCACAGTTATGTTAGAACGCATCTCATTCTTGTGTCTGTGGTGGTGTGCTGGGCTCATCATGGGGCGTGCAGTCCGGAGCGCTGTATGACTGATGTATCCGTTTAATTTAAATTTACCCCAAATATATGAACTTACCTGTTTTAAATATTTTATATTTAACTTGTTCGTTTATGTCCAATATTTAGTGTTAAACTGTTGGTCTTTAAAATAAATTTACTTTTGATTTTCACCGTTGACTGATTTTGCAGACCTTTTAGACTGATAACTTCTGTGCTCTGATGCGGCAAAATTGTCACAGGACGCGCAGTCCTAATAGCGATGTATGACTGTTGTATCCGAATATATACTAACTAGCTGTTTTAAATATTTTTGTATTTAACATGTTAGTTTATCAGTATGTTTGAAAGTATATTATTTAGATTCGTGGTGCTTCCATAGGCTCCCTCTCTCTCTCTCGCGCGCGCTCGCATGCGCGCGGTTTAAAACACCAAATAGTTATGAAATAGCCTATGACAAGTACAGGGAGTCTCTCTTTTGCCCCCACCCACCCATGCACGATAATATCGTCCATCGGCGATCTCACGGACTGGCGATATGACGATTTGAAAAATGATCATATCGCCCAAAACTATTTTCACCTCAATCCCTGAAGTTACAGATAACTCAAAACTCATCTTCACCAGGAGTCGGCAAACTTTTGGACATAAAGTGCCATTTTACTGTCATATCATCACCCTACATTACCGCTCAAATGTTTGGGGTTGTTAATATTTTTTAATAAACAAACTCTCTTGTGTCCACCAAGTTTGCATTTATTTAAAATCTGTAACATTGTGAAATATCACAATTTAAAACAACTTTTTATTTTAATAGATTTTAAAATGTAATTTATCGATGGCAAAGCTGAATTTTCAGCATCATTACTCTAGTCTTCAGTGTCACATGATCCTTCATAAATCTGCTCAAGAAACATTTATTATTATTAATGTTGAAAACAGTTGTGCTTCTGTGTAAACAAAGATATATTTTTGGGACTCTTTGATGAATAGAAAGGTCTAAAGAACAGCTTTTAATTGATACAGAAATCCTTTTACATTTTAAATGGGGGTGCGCCGATCCGATATTCAGGATCGGTATCGCTCCGATACTGGCATTTTCTGCTGGATCGGGGTATCGGTCAGACGAGACCGATCCAAATCCGATATAGTGCATATACTATTCTGTGTTATTATTAAGCCCCAAGAAAGCCACAAAAACATTATAAAGCACCATAAAGTTTTCGTGCACTATATTTCAAGTGTTCTGAAGATTTAATGTGAGGTACAAATGAATATTTAAGTCAAGTTCACGTAAACTCTTCTCTCCGCAGCGGCTGTCTGATATCCTCCATTCAGCATTCAAACTGTGTCACGTTCGGTTATGACAGTCAAGACGATGAAACTCTCTCCTAGATGATTAAATGTTCCTAATGGTATACTTGATTTGTAAATAAAGATAAATGGTTTTGCATAAAAGGAATTTATCTTGCTGGAGTTTCGTACTGTTATTAAAATCGTGTAAATTTCTACCGGATACCTGGTTGGATCACAAGACTGGAGTAGACAGCACTATGAATTGTTCGTCACGAGTACAGTAACTGAAATTTAAAACTGTTAAAAGAAAAGGCTCAATAAACTAACGCACATATTTAATACACTATGTATCAATATCTCTTCACTTTGTGCTTTGAACTTTTCTATGCTACGCGCTGCGACTCCGTGCCGCTTCAAACGCGTCATTCAGCTCACGGGATGCGCATAAGCGCTTTGAGCCGCTCTGTATTTGTAGCCTTTAGTATCATAATACTTTTGCGCAATGAAAGATTATTAATAGCCTTTCTTGTTCATCTTATCTATCATTTGTTGCTGCCTCATTACTCTGCTATAAATTTAAAAGAAATGTCTTTTAATTTATACAGTAGTCAACATTTGAAGTGGATTAAAAAAAGTTAATCAGAGTTGTCCTAAGACAAGAACGGGTATTGTTTTGGTTTTAGGACAACTTTGATGAAAAGTTTTGATCCACTTCAAATGTTGACTACTATAGTATATATTTATATATAAATATATTACTTGTTTTTCATGAATGTATTTTACAACAATACAAAGAGCAATGTGTAGGCCTACCAGATTTAGCCCTACACTTATTCACTTTTATTTGTTACCCACTAAATAATGTATTTTTTTTCACAAAAATTTAGGATTTTATAAAATTATTGTGCACTCATGATTTTTCTAAGTAACTTTTGCTACTGAATTATCCATTAACCTAGTTTATAATAGCATTTTTGTCATAGATTTTGATTATATATTTTTTTGTTTGTTATTTTTTCTTTATAATGAAGCTGTCTATATTTAGTAGATTGTGTGTAACATACAAAAGAGTGATGATCGACCTACACCTTGAGGTATAGAAATTCTACACTCATTTAAAAAAACTGCGCTGTATCGGATCGATATCGGTATCGGCAGATACTCCGAATTTTTGGTATCGGATCGGTATCGGTTCTGAAAAAGTGGTATCGAGCCATCCCTAATTTTAAATGTCTTTACTGTCACTTTTTTAAAAAATCAATTGAATGCATCCTTCCGGAATAAAATAATTAAAAAATATATTATTTTAAATGCAATGCAATCTATTTATATTACCAGAGCTCAAATGTAAAGGTTTTTGTTTCTCTATAAATGTTTTTTTTACTTGCCCTGATAACATTTTCATTGGACCCACCACAATTTTGTTTTATTACTGTATTTTTATAATTGCTAGAAATAAATATTTTTCACTAAATGTTCAGTTTTCTGCATACATTTTTGGGCCATACTCACCAGTGGTTCAGCCATGACCACCTCGATCTTCTTCTCGGCGAGTACAGCAAACTCTGCGAAGAGGCTCTTGATGACAAACTCTCCAGGCTTGAGCTCGGGGTCGATGGTGATGCTGGACATGGTGGCGGGGTGGATGCTACGCTTCTCCCAGCTGGCCAGGGCTGAGGGGGATGTTCCTCGCCTACTCACACTGCTGTTGCTTACAGGGACCGAGGCTGTCAAGAAAGAGAGACAGTTATGTAGCATTACAAAGCATTTTGAATGCACAATAAAAAGGTTATGAAGCGCTCAAGCAGAAATTAGCAGTAAAAAATCTGAAGACAAAATGTAAATCTACTGGCATTAAAAGACTAAGGAGTTATAGGTTCATTAAAGATTGAAAGTCATGTGCATCACAATATGATCAGATCAAGTTGCTGATGATTACATTTTGAAGAGCTATCTCAAAAGAAAAAGCACACAAACTTTGAAATTTAAATTAATTTGTAACTATAGCAACCCAGAACTGATTTTTCACCCTAAACCACATCCCTAGTATAATATATGCCGCCCCTTAAACATCTTATTACAATTACCGCTGGACGTTGCTATGTTGGACCACTCAAAAAATTAAGTTGTGACTCTGCGGCACTATTAAAAAATAGTTTTAGACTTCAGACTTTAGACTCATCTATGAATGGCTTACTTATAGTTGTATAACATCAAAAGTCAACATTAAAAGTCAACATGCAGTCAAAAAAAGGCTATTTAATTTGCGAACACATTTCCTTAATTTGACTGACGGCTTCAGTATTTTAAAAAGGCCAAAAACCAACACAAACACTCATGTTGGGTTTTTGTGTTTTATGAGAACAGTCCATAGCCGTAATGATTTTTTACTAAAATATTTTATATTCTATCCCCTACCCCTAAACCTAACACATACAGAAATGCAAACATTTTTCATCAGTATTATTCTGATCAATACTGAGAACATGTTTATTTAACACACTTACTCATCAGCTTTGATAACATTGTGCATTTATTAAACTTAAAAAAAAAAAAAAATTAATTTCGTTTAAGCAGTGGATTTCATTGAATTTTAAATATAATTCAATTGAAAAAAAAAGATAAATAAAATTAAATATAAAATAAAATATATACACTTAATACTTTTACAACACGAACATTTTACTAAATTAAAAATAAATAAAAAAAAATTAATTTGATTTAATGTTCAGTCCTAAGTAGTCTGACATTCTAAAGCATTCAAATGAACTTACAAGTGCACTGACACCATGTTTTTCTTGAGCACAGATAAAGACTGCATGTGTGGATTAAGGTACAACTCACATTTTTCAATCTAGACATGAATCCAGAAAGACTGGAAAAACTGTGTGTGTGTGTGTGTGTGTGTCAGATGTCAACTCAGCTCAGGAAATCCCTGCCCTTGTCTCCCACAGGTTGCTGGAGAAACCACGATGAGGCGAGAGAAGTTCAAACAATAATAGGAGGATGAATAAAAAAATACCTGTGAAATTAATGAGTTTTTCAGAGGAGAAAGCAGGGTCACACCTAGTAACTCCTACATCTCCCACAATAATAAAACAAAAACATTCACACACTCAAGAGGACGAGTGAGAGGGACACACGCAAGAGTATGTCCCCAAAGCTGTTTGCGTGTTTGTTTGTCTATGTACAAACACTCACTTTGTTTCCTGTTTAGCAACACCTCCCAATCCCTATGATGTCACACTGCCAGCTTTCATTGGCCGGTACAGGGTCCCCAGGACCATGTCTGATTGGCTGAGGGGCCTGCTGACGGGCATTCTAACATTGTTTGTACTTTTCCACTCAGTGATGCAGAAAGGATGAGCAAAAGAAGCGAGGAGAAAACCATTACATTTATGAAATCCCAGCATACACGCTCCCGATAAGTATTCGTTATTAAAGCATCAACTTTCACAGAACACTGTTATTTTTAACTAAAGCAAGCGGCTGCTGCGTGCATGGTTTGGTATTGTAATGGCAGTGAGCGCTAGCAGCCAGGTGCATTACGGGTATTTGTTTAGAGTTGATTTATGTGTTAATTAAGCAAGATGGTTGAGTTTTTGCATTAGCAGTGTTATTTGTGTTTATGTTCAAGTTAGTTCGGGTGGGTTTGGTTCAATTACTGCCTTGTTATAAAAAGTGTGGCTGTCACCGTCATGGAGAGAGATGTGTAGGGGAGGCACTTGGCGATATAGCCTTGCCTGTGTATGTTCTTAATCTGTGTTTAGAATAAAAGGATAAAGACGATGGTACTGCCTCCTGCTGGTTTGTTCTGTCTGAGCTTCTGCTCACAATGA